TTCCTCTCAGGACTGCCTTTGCTGTGTCCCATAGGTTCCGGTAGGTTGTGTTTTCATTTTCATTGACTTCCAGGAACTTTTTAATTTCCTCTTTTATTTCATCAATGACCATTGTTCATTAAGTAATGAGTTATTTAGTTTCCAGCTGTTTGCATGTTTTTTGTCTTTACTTTTGTTGTTGAGTTCTAGTTTTATTGCATTGTGATCAGATAGTATGCACGGTATAATTTCTATTTTCTTATATTTGCTGAGGCTTGCTTTGTGCCCTAGGATATGATCTATTTTGGAGAAGGTTCCATGGGCTGCTGAGAAGAATGTATATTGTGTAGAAGTTGGATGAAATGTTCTGTAGACATCAACTAGGTCTATTGCATATTTTAGATCTTGGATTTCTTTATTGATTTTTTTGTTTGGATGACCTATCTATTGATGATAATGGGGTGTTAAAGTCTTCCACAACCACTGTGTTGCTTTTAGGTCTTTCAGGGTATGTTTGATGAAATTGGATGCTTTGACATTGGGTGCATACAGGTTGATAATTATTATTTCTTTTTGGTCTATTTCCCCTTTTATTAGTATGGAATGTCCTTCTTTATCTCGTTTGATCAATGTAGGTTTGAAGTCTACTTTGTCAGAGATAAGTATTGCTACTCCTGCCTGTTTTGGGCCATTGGCTTGGTAAATCTTCTTCCAGCCTTTCATCCTAAGCCTATGCTTATTTCTGTCGGTGAGATGGTCTCCTGTAAGCAACAAATTGTTGGATCTTCCTTTTTAATCCATTTGTCAAGCGTGCCTTTTGATGGGTGAATTAAGTCCATTAACATTAAGTGTTAGTACTGATAGGTATGTGGTGATTCCTGTCATTTAGTTGTCTTAGTTGTTTGAAGGTTTGATTGTGTGTACCTAAGTTGAGTTACTACTTCTTGCTTTTTCTTTTCCTGTGTTTGGTGCTGCCTGTCTTTTCATGGTTAAGTTGGGTTTCACTTTCTGTGTGCAGAATCCCTTGAAGAATCTTTTGTAGTGGTGGCTTTGTGGTCACATATTGTTTTAGTTTCTGCTTATCATGGAAGACTTTTATTGCTCCATCTATTTTGAATGATAGTTTTGCTGGGTAGAGTATCCTGGGGTTGAAGTTATTTTAATTCAGTGCCTGGAAGACCTCACCTCATGCTCTTCTTGCTTTTAATGTTTCTGTTGACAAGTCTGTTGTAATTTTGATGGGTTTACTTTTGAATGTTATTGTTTTTTCTCTCTTACAGCCTTCAATATTCTTTCCTAGTTTCTGAACTTGTTGTTTTAATGATGATATGTCGTGGGGTAGTTCTATTTTGATCTGGTCTGTTTGGTGTCCTGGAGGCCTCTTGCGTCTGTATGGGAATATCTTTCTCTAGATTTGGGAAATTTTCTGTTATTATTTTGTTGAATATATGTTGTGCATTCCCTTCACTTGCACCTCTTTTCCTTCTTTGATGCCTATGATTCTCAAGTTTGGTCTTTTGATGGAATCAGTGAGTTTTTGCATTTTCTTTTCACAGGTCTTGAGTTATTTAATTAATAGTTCTTCGGTTTTCCTTTAATTACCATTTCATCTTTGAGTTCTGAGATTCTGCCTTCTGTTTGTTCTATTCTGCTGGATTGGCCTTCCGTTTTGTTTTGCAGTTCTGTTTCATTCTTTTTTCTGAGGTTTTCCATATCCTGGTGTTTCCTCTTTAATGTTGTCTATTTTTGTCCTGAGTTCATTTATCCTTTATTCATCGTGTTTCTGTTTCACTTTGGTGTTTATACAGTGCTTCTATGGTTTCCTTTATTTCTTCTTTTGCTTTTTTAAATTCTCTATTTTTGTTGTCTTGGAATTTCTTGAGTGTCTCCTGTACATTTTGGTTGACCCTATCCAGTATCATCTCTATAAAATTCTAATTGAGTACCTGTAGTATGTCTTCTTTTAAATTATTCTTGTGGGCTTCATTGGGTCTTTGGCATAGTTTATCTTCATTTTGTTGGAGTCTGGATCTGAGTATCTGTTTTCTTCATTCCCTCTGGTTCCTGTACTAATTTTTTGCTGTGGGGAAACTGGTTTCCCTGTTTTTTCTGTCTTCCCGTCATTGTCTTTGGTGTTGATGCTGTCACTGTACTGTATGCAATTAAGTATTTTCTAGCTTGTAATAATAGCAGTGGTAATATTTAGAATGGAAGGGTGAGAGAGATGGAAAGCAAGAAGTTAAAGAAAAGGGAAAACAAATACAGACAAGAGGAGAAAACAAACAAGGATCAAACAAGAGTTTCAAAGGTATAAACAGGGAGTTAGTGTACTAATTGACAGTAAGCTGAACAGACATTAGAGAGACAGAGAGAGGATTGAAAATCAAAAATAAAAAAAATAAGAATAAAATAAAAATAAGTAAATGAAAGAAATATCTATATATAAAATGAATTAAAATAAATGAAAATAAAAATTAAAAAAAAAACAAAAACCAAAAACCTCCAAGTTCAAATGCAATGAAGTTTCAGTCTTAATAATTTGGGTGTCCGTCTCAGTCTTGAATCCTGGAGATGGTGCCTCAGATGTTGTTCTGTAGTTGTCTCATCAAAGGGGACGCATAAAGTAGAACAAAACTACACACACACACACACAAAAAACCCCACAAGTGTCCCAAGTTCAAATGCAATACAGTTTCAGTAAGTTTTTCAGCATGCAGGTGTAATTCGTTGTTCTCATCAAAGGTAGGGAGAAAAGAAAAAAAAGAGTCTGGAGACAGTTTGGAGAATGGTATCTGCAGCTGTGGCTTGCCTGCCTGCTGCTCTCAGCCTGCTATTGCTGGCGGGGTTATTTATGCAGATCTCAGGGGTGAGCTTAGCACTCACCTGGCCCTGCAGGCTTTGTTTGCTCAGAGTTCTCCTGTGCGGGAGCCTCTGCTACAAGCTTTCCCCTTTCCAAGCACTGGGAAAGGTGACACTGCACCCGTTTGTCAGGCCTGCGTGTTTATTTACAGTTCATGTGGGAGGTGGGTCTTCCCCCTCTCCTGTGCAGTTTTCCTCTCACCGCCACTTTCACAAGCTTTCCTGCTCCTGATTACTGGGCGGTGCTGCTGCTCCTGCCAGCTGCCATGTTTGTTTACAGTTCACGTGGAAGTGGGTCTTCCCTCCTCTCCTGTGGAGTTTTCCTCCCTCCACCATCTCACAAGCTTTCCCTCCTGGTTGTGGGTGCGCGCCCCGCTCCGCAGAGGCCTCTCCGCCCACCGGCTTGTTTATTTACAGTCCCGGAAGGATTCCTTCCCCAATCTTCAGCGCTCAGGGCGCCCACCCTCTTTCCAGTGTCTTTTGTTCTTATTGCTTATTACTCAGTTTCTCTTTTTTCCCCGGTGGAGGTCAGTCTGTCCAGGGGGCTATGCTGCTCTGGCCCAGGCTTGTCTGTGGGAGTACGTACTGCGAAGCTCACCTGGTCCGTCTTCCCAAGCCATCTGGGCGCGGGGATGGCGGCCCGGGGCCCTCCTGTTTCTCCATTTTAACGTGAAGTGGAGATTCTCTGTGCTGGCTGGAGGTGTGGAGGGGTCAAAGTTATGCCTTTTCTCAGTGATTATGCCTGCAAAGTGTGTCTCCAGTCTCTCCAAGATTACTATAGGAGGCTCATTTCTGCTTCCTCCCTCTAGCCGCCATCTTGCTTCCTCCAGGTCTTTTTAATATAAAGCACTACATGGCTCCTAAACTTTCCTCTAGGACTGCTTGCTGTGTCCCATGGGTTACCAGTAGGTTGTGTTTTCATTTTCATTGACTTCCAGAATTTTTAATTTCCTCTTTTATTTCATCAATGCCCATTGTTTCATTAAGTTATTCAGTTTCCAGCTGTTTGCATATTTTTTGTCTTTTTTTGTTGTTGAGTTCTATTTTTACTGCATTGTGATCAGATAGTATGAACAGTATAATTTCTATTTTCTTCTATTTGCTGAGGCTTGCTTTGTGCCTAGATATGAATCTATTATGGAGAAGGTTCCTGGGCTGGTGGAAGATTGTATATTGTGTAGAAGTTAGGATGAAATGTTCTTGTAGACATCAAGTAAAAGTCCATTTGATCTACTGTACTATTTAGATCCTATGAATTTCTTCTTTATTGATTTTTTTGTTTGGATGACCTATCTATTGATGATAATGGGGTGTTAAAGTCTCCCACAACCACTGTGTTGGAGTTAATATATGCTTTTAGGTCTTTCAGGGTATGTTTGATGAAATCTTTCTTTCTTATGAGATTAAAGTACAGTATAAAATTTTTATGACTTTCAGTGCTTATACATTGATTCTTATTGTTTATATGTTGATTGGATTGCTTATACAATTTAATTCAATTCCCACTTAATGTACAACTGTTAACTAACTACCTCCTACGGACCTAGACCTGTGCTGCATCCTGGTATTACAACAGTGAACAAAGACATGCAAAGCCATTGCCCACGCTAGATAGCAGAGCAGATATTAATCACATAGCCAGATGGATCAGCAACGTGGTACCATGACAGTGTACATAAGGGGACGTGACCTATAGTGAGAAGGGGACAGTCTGTCTCAGGAAGAGCAGCTAGGAATTGGGGGAGAGTGCATTGTAAGCAGATCAAAGGCCTAAGTCTTTACTGTCCTTCAAACTTGCTTCAGGAGCTTATTTCAATTTAGGGGCTCTGCAGTGGGGCCCTAGACTCTACATTTGTAATAAACACTCTAAGTGACTCTGATGTACACGGTCTCTTGATCACACTCTGAAAAATACCCAGGCAAAGAGCACACAAAGGTATTAGTGCTTATTGGCATGTGCAACTTATTAACCGCCCTGTTCTGGAAGGCTAGCTCTGAGTTAGGCTCTGCCCTGATTGCTCACTGTGTTTGTGCCTCTCCTGGCCTTGTCCAGCCCTAGTCTGGGCACTTATCTCCCCATCTGTGACATGAAGCATTGGGCGGTGTGATCTCAACTGTCAGTGGCCCTAAAACTCTGAGAATATGATTTTTACATTCTACAGATGCACTTGCCAGAAAGGCTACGTGGGTGACGGCTTGACATGTTTTGGAAACATCATGGAGCGACTCAGAGAACTAAACACTGAGCCCAGAGGGAAATGGCAAGGAAAGCTGACCTCCTTCATCTCACTCCTGGGTATGCAGCTATGGAGACAGATTTCTTCCTCAAAGGCAGCCCTCTCTGGGGCACCAAGACACAAACCTGAAGAAAGGGATGAGCGAGGCTGGTCCACTGCCGATGGCCCTTCTAAGGAAGGGTCATACAAGTGAGAGGGAAGAGCAAACAGGTGTTTGCCAGGGTGTCTAGCAATGCAAGAATGAATAGTCAAAGAGCTCAGGCTAGAGTCCAGGGGCTACCAAAGATTGTCAGACCTGCAGCAACAGCAAGAGGTGCTGACGTAAAAGACCAAAGCCCTTCCCCGTCTCCAAGTCCTTTGAGGATAACAAAGATTGGCAGGTAGTGATGGTAATAGGGTGACCAAGGCCTAAAGTGTAATCTGTATACCTCAGTGGAGATGTCCTTTGAATGTGGAACAGTCCTGAAGTCACAAATCCTTCCCCAGGACCCCAGGCAGGGCAACAGTCTAAAAAGCCCTTAAGCATTTTGAAAGCCTTCTAAGGACTATTACTCCCTCCCACCAGCCCCCCAGAATGAAATATTAGATAAGACTTCCAATCAAACATGAAGTTGTCCAAGCAACAAATCAACAGTCTTGACTAATCAAGACTTAAATGATCAGCATTTATATTCAAATTTATCAGTCACCAAAAATGACTTCCCAAAAAACAAAAACAAAAAACACAAGTATTGGCCGGTCATGGTGGTACACACCTATAATCTCAGCTACAGGGTCACAGGTTAGAGGCCAGCACAGGCCAAATTAGTGAAGTCCTATCTCAAAACCAAAAATGGCTGGGGGCATGGCTCAAGTTCAAGGTCTTAGGTTCTTAGTGCCCTCTACCACACACAAGACAAGTACCATTGACAGGCCAATGCTGTGTTCTTGGCATAAACCCTGCATAAATGTCCTCTTCTTCCCAAGGCCTCCTATAGGGAGACTAGCATAACTGGCATGGTTTGGGTCTGGGGGCAATCTGCCTGCTCCTCTCACCTTTCTGTAGGAACTCTTGAACTTCAAATAGAAGTAGAAGGGGTGATGGGGGGTCCTTTGCAGACTGGGCCCTCAAACGTTTCCATGGACAGAATCCTGTTGACATTTTTCCCTCCTGTGACAAAGTGCTGGTCCTGCTGCCTGCTATGTGAGCACATGGAACCTGGCCTGATGTCCCAGCTTCCCCAGAGCAATGGAGAAAGTCTGGCTACATAATTTGCAAGGCCCATGGCAAAATGACAACGTGATTAAGCAATTCAAGGTAGCAGTGGCTAAGCATTAAACTGAGTATGGAGCTCTTCTGAGCTGGCCCTGAACAGAACCAAGGGCTACATCTTTGCTCACTGAGATGACAACAGCTCAAAAAGCCAGGCACAGGGTCAGGGACACTGGGGCTGTCAGAGGACCTTGTCATCCCAGGGTATCCTTGAAGCCAACTCTGTGGCTGTGGGGAAACACTTAGAACATTGGAATATGTCCAGACTAAGGGTTCGCAGTGCTGTGTGTTTTTAGAGTTTCGCAGTGTACCATGTGCTGCACATAGCAGTTAGAACACAGAAGGGCACAAACGGGGCCAATGTGACATAAAGCTCACTGCACGATTTTACTCCTTGTTCCACTAACCCACTTGGTGTTCTATTACTTTGTTTCCACTTCTAAGACAAAGCTTATGCCTGGCCAGTAAGCAACCTGGGACCGTTCACTGTGCTGCTGCCCTCAGACAAGGGCCTGAAAAGATTTGATGTGAGTACTTAAAATCACCCTGCTGGAGGGGCTGATAACCAAAGCCTTAATAGGCAGTGTCTTCTTTTATTTATGTGGAAAACCCTATTAAAATTAAACCTACTGGTTATAAGGATGATGGTATTTTGATAAATTCTGTTATTAACACATAATAGTTATACATATTTGTGGAGTACAGCATGATAAGTTGATACAAGTATGTAATGTATAATGATCAAATCAGAATAATTAGCATTTCCATCTCCTTAAACATTTATCATTTCTTAATGTTGCAAAGCCTCAAATTCCTCTCTTCTATCTCTTTGTAAACTATATTGTAAATGATCATAAACTAGTCACTCTACTATGCTACAGAGCACTAGAATTCACCATTCCTATCTAACCATATTTTGGTACCTATTATCCAAAGTCCTTCTATCCCCCACCCCCTCTGCCCCTCCTTGCCTCTAGTGACCACTTCTATGAAATCAACATTTAGCTTTCACATATGAATGAAAACATGCAGGATTTAATAAACTTCTTTGAGTGAAGTATCTTTACAAAAAGTAACACAAGTGGTAAATATACAAATCAAGAATTTTCTCATCATGGAGACCCTTGTGTATCTAGCAAAGCCATTACCAGCATTCTGAAATGCCCTCTTGTGTCCCCTTCTAATCACTGCTTCTCCAAAGGTAACCCCTAAAGATTCTTAACACTCAGTCACCTGATAAATAAGATTTGGATAACGTAAAACTGCTCATTCCCCACAAAAAGAATTAAACTCGTGCATTAGCATGCTATTTGTTTCTTTAAAACTGTCAGAATGCTAACAGTGATGAGGAACAAGAAAAATTTACTCTTCAGTGTGAATGGCTGTTGTTTGTGATAATGTCACCCAGTGGGGATGAAACTTGTGCCTGGTACACAGGTGTCCTACTGCGATGATAGCAACAAAAAGCTCTATTTGATTTCATGTAAATAATGGACTTCGTGATTTGCATAAAATTGGGTTATCTTAGTCCAAGTTATTCTGTGATAATAATTTTTGCTGCATTGAATTAAAACCCAGTAAGTTCCAGACTCCCTCACCCTGGTGTACCACATCAATCGTCTGTTTAGCTGAGTGTGCCTACTGTTAACCTCCAGTATGATAGCTAACATACTGAGATTTCAGGGATGTCCTGTGTCTCTCCTGATGAGAAGGAGAGCTAGCAACATTGGATGCCTCTAGGCTAGGCACTTTGCATGTGGTCTTGTGTTGAACATATAAGATTTGCACGGAGTTCATAAGAAGTATCTTATGACTGATGGTTGCCTATGTAGCAGTGACAAAAAGTAGATTTGGTCTAGTGGATTTCAGAAGTCTTAACTTTACTATTCAAAAGCATTATCAGTCCATCTACCTGCTCTTTGCACAAAACTTCAGGAGTATTTCCTTCCATGCATCCTCTTTCTGGACTCAAGGTAGATTCCTAGGTGTGAGATACTCAGGCTGTTCCTCCAGCTGCCATTGATCTGCAGTCGCCACCACAGTCAGTTTTCTGGCCAGGGAAGCCTCCCAGGTCTGACAGTGGACATCACCTACAGCTATCTTTGATGCCTGGCCTCGTGCTTGTGCTCAGAAAGCAACATCTATGTGGGAAAGAGTTCAAAGAGGGCCCCTAGGATGCCCTGGCTTTGATGTCTTTGATGCTGAATGAGACACAGCAAGTATTACAAACCCCATGTTCTCCTTCAGTCCAGCCAGCTCTCTTTTCTTAGGTGGAAGAGCTTTTGATGGATGCTGAGGCTGCCCAGTACTTTGTAAAGCTCCACATCATTGCTGGGCAGATGAGCACAGAAGTGATGAACAACACAGACGCCTTCTACACCTTGACCGGGAAGCCAGGGGAAATCTACAATGTAGATAAGGTAAGAATTTCTGTGAGTTTCACTCCCAGGACAAAATCGTCCACGAAGCCTATGCATATACCCTTCTTATCCTGGGTATTTGGGGTTTGTGAAAGACTACAAAGAACTTCTTTCCTAATTCCTAGTTTGTCAGACACCTTCCTATGCAGAAAGAAGCAGAGAGCAGCATGGGGTTTAGGGGCTAGGGGTTGACTGTTACTTAAGGGGGGTTACAGTGTTGAATTTGGATCTGATCTGATTTAGTTTTTAAGGCAACCATCACTCACTCAGCTGCCAGCAGGAGACAAGCTGCCATGACCCTGTTTCCTGGGAGCTTCAGCACAAAACCCCATCAACATTCCTCACCCAAAAGGAACTAGATTGTGTTTGCTTAGGTGGCTGGAGTTGATCCATCTTCTTCAACATGGCATTCTGTCTCTCTTAATACCATTAGTGCACCTTGCTTTTTAAATAAAGCTACTCTCCTCCTTTCACAAACAGCCTCTTTTGTGACTCTACTTAGCTAGTAGTGGAGAGGGAGAAGTGCTTGATGAAGAATGTGCATTTATGTCTTATGGCATATTTTGTTGTACTTCACCTAATATCAATACTTGATACATCATGCAGTATCCTTTCTAGGCTGAGTCCAGGGCTAAATCTTTATTTATGTTATGTAAGACTCACAAGAACCTCTGTAAAAGAGATCTTGTCAAAATCCCTGTTTTCACTATGAGACAGGCGAGGAGAAATCATACAGACGTGCCAGAGCCAGCAGTCAAATGTGGGTGTGCCTGACTCCAAAGTCCACAGACTTACCCTTAACAGTCTGCTATACTGTATGTGTGAGGATGGGTGGATGATAGAGATAGATATAGATAAATAGATAGGGAGTTAGGGAGTCAGAGAGGGAGGTAGATAGATTGGTGGTGGGACATAACAGAGTCATGTATACGTGACAGATATGAAGATGTGGCTTCTTTGCTCACCAGGACACACATATTATTCACACATTCATTCATTCAACAGGTACTTATTTGCTAAGTCTGTAACTTGTAGGGGTCTCATGGGAAGAAGAAGGAATTAGCTTCAGTTATTTCCTTCAACAAATATTTCTCTTGTGCGCTTTGAACAATACACTGAAACAAGTGTATTGCTGTGTCCTTCAGGCCTTGTAGTTTATTGGAGGACAGCACTGCAATGCCTTGTCCACGTTTTGCATGTGGCAGTCGTAGTTGATGTCACACATTATCTCATTTGATCTTAGGGGAACCACATGAAGTGAACCAAAATCTCATAGCCAGTAAGTGGCAGGAGCCAAGGATCAGGGCTTCTGCCATCTAGTCCAGGGCTTGCTCTTTCCAGAACACCACATTAATTTGGTTTTATCTTTTTTTTTTTTTTTGGTATTTTAGGACAATCAACTAAAACTTAAACTTTATGGAGGCAAAAAGAAGGTGAAAATTATACAGGGGAACATCGTTGCTTCTAATGGACTTGTGCACATCATCGACAGAGCCATGGACAAGCTGGAACCCACGTTTCAGAGCAACGCTGAGGTGAGGTATTTTAGTTGAAAGGGAGGCCGACCTAAACCCATCTCCCTTTGATCCCTGGACAGTTGCATCCAAGAAGAAAGTGTTTGCCAACACCATGTGCTTGCTCTTCAGCTTACAAGGTCTCTAGTTTAGAGAAGATGAGATGATTTGTATTTTCAGTAGAATTCTGAGTAATTCTGCAGAGAGAAAGAAAGGCATGCAGTGTCTGCAGGAAAAATGCGAATTTTTAAAATCATCATCAGACAACAGAGCCCAATGACCCATCGTCATAGCAATTCACCCCTCATGCTTTATGGAGGAGGGCTGTTATTGTGAGGAAATTTATTCCTTCTGACCTATATGATGATGACCAGAGGTGGCTTCACAATATGTAGGTTTGAACCACTGTGTATATAACAAAAAACTTATATAACATATGGCAGTTGACCAGATCATTTTTAGTGCATACGTCCACACTCATGCATAAACTCTAGTCTCTTGATGTGAGAATTTGCATTTCCTAAACCACATTTTCTTAAAGCAAAATGTCTCTTTTCAGCAAACCATAATGACAATGCTGCAACCAAGATATAGCAAGTTCAGATCTTTGTTGGAGGTATGTATGTTTCATGAATTTCTGAAAAATGTTTAAGTCCTTTATAAAATTAACAGGATTGTCAACTACGAATGCTTTATACAGAAATAATTCTAATATCTGTCCAAGATAAATGGCAGTTATAAAATTTCACTTCTCAAATACAGGAAACAAAGGTGGGCCGTGCCTTACATGAGGATGGGGTTGGTGGACCGTATACCGTTTTTGTTCCAAGTAATGAAGCATTGGATAGCATGAAGGATGGCACTCTGGATTACCTCCTTTCTGCAGAGGTATTGTGTCCTGCTTACTCTGATGGCATTGTGCCAGCATCACTGCCTCCGTCTGTCCTAGCAGGCTCTTTCTAAACTGAGGGAGGTAATAAGTAGCACATGTATTGGCACTGTGTTCCCACACCCAAGGAAGACATCATCAATAGATTACCGTCCTATGGAGGACGCAGTTTCAGTCTCCTCAGTAGAGTTCTAATAGCTATGATCAGTTAATTAGACTCTGCACAGGAAATAAAGTCTGTTTACAAACTTAGGCCTACATGGTTGGTTTGATTGGTCCTGGATCTTCCAATGGCTCCCAGTAGTAAAATCAACAGTTAAAGTTCCCTATACCTCTAAAATGAGGTATAGAGAATGATATCTAAAGTAGGCCACCCAGAGCCAGGCCTAGGCTGAGCTCTCAAAGGAATGACTGTTATTTTTAGATGCCCCCAGCCTTTCTCTTGCTTTCCTCCTCTCTCCACAATAACGTTTTTGTTGTATTCCATGGGCCTTCAATTCTGTCACATTCCTCCCTAGGGACGAGACTGTGAATTCCTTCATTTCCAGGTTAAAATGACTGAGACCATTTAAAGCGCTTCATTTCCCAGAAATAACAGCCTGAAGAAAAGGATAGCTATCTACGGAGTTTTGCTCACTAGAATGACAAGTGGTAGGACTACACAAAGGGCCACAAATTTGCTTCCAGGGCTCTGAAATCATGCCACCATCTTAGCACAGTGCACAAATTCTATGAATTCACATAGGTTAGTGTTGATCATACAGGATGTGGGAGGTTAGGGTAGTGATTTTCAACCTTTGGTGCAGTTAGGGGTCACTTAACAGAGCTTGCCAGGTAAGCAGGTTCCAAGCTTCACCCAAAACAGTCTATCAGTGGCACTAGAATAAGACCCAGAAACAGATCTGCAGGTACACCCCACTTTCTAACATGTGGTCCCAGGCCACACTGTCTCTGCAAACAGTTGCCTTTTTAGTTTGGAGGTTCATGTGGATACAGTACTTTCTAGAATACTTTTTGATATCTTCAAGGTTATCTTGTGTTTGGAAAATTCTGAATTTATATATATCAAGAAGATGAGTCAAAATGTGTTTCTTTCATTGCAAACAGATATTCAGCATATGAAAGGATTTGCTATGGGTTTCATTGAACAAGCCAGGTCTCCCAGCATCTTGGATGTAAGATGTGACTTTAAAATATAACTCACACTTGAGTTCTCTGAAACCTTACTGTTGTTGAAAAACTGTTATACCTCTCTTTAGAATTTATCTTCAACTTAAAATGACCTAGAAAAGTCATGCTGTCCCCCTGGGAAATTATTAAAATCCTAAGATTATATGACCTCCCCAATGTGATATTTTAAAATTAATGATTGAGGTGTTTTTAGGCACCTAATCAGATACACCGAAAGTTGAAATAAAGCATTTTAACTGGAATTGAAAAAAAAAATTAACCTGCCTACTTTTCTGTCAGGCACCTTTGTTTGGAAAGCTCGTCTCTTCTCCTTCCTGTAACTCCTGCCAGGTGTGGCAGAGGCAGGCTCCGGGGACTGCCAAGGGAGGAATGAATGTGTGTGTGTGTCTCTCCAGATCCATCCAATGACATCACATTAGCTTCAAATCAGCCTGCAGAACATTTACACCGTAGAAATTGCCCAGCACATCCCCTGCTCTGGCTCTTGATGTTGATTTTCACAAGAGCAGTGAGTGTAAAGAGTATAAACCTCCGTTCTCTTCGTTGGGAGTCAAAAACTGGTTTTCTACTTCAGTTTCTAAGTGAGGAATAGAACAATCATTTCTGCCACTTTCTGAGATCCACAGCCTGTGTCGGCTGAAGTTTCTGACCCTACAGAAAACTCCTTCTCCATCCTTTTAATAGCATCTTTCAGTTTTATCTCCAGAGAACAATGTGAGCTGAACACTAATGTCCTCATTGGCTCTGCCAATGAAATGGAAAACAAACTGGTTTCCTTAAAAGTGTTTCTGATTCTGATTTTGAAGTGCTGTGCTTTCTTAACAGAAAATTGTGCTTCTCCCTGAAGCATAATTTCAGTCCAAAAACCATCACACAGCCACAAACCATGGCTACTGATTACAAACCCCAGTCTATGACTTCATCACTGAACCAGACAAAAATAAAAGCACAGGGAGCAAGAAGCTCCCTTACAAGTAATGGGAGAAGGGAAGTGAATTTACAAAGTTCAAAGGCACGTTAACATTTGGATAGAAAAGTTCTCTCCGCCTCTGGCACCAAAAGACTTGGAGTATTTTTTACATAAACAGCAGAGGGGTGAGTGTCCTCATAAGCAAAAGAATGCAGGACACCAACAGGCTGTTGGACAACAGCACCTGGAAGAGAGGCTCCAGACACACATGGTGGCACCAGTCATGATGGTTGATTCCTTAGCTCCTTTCCTTCTCGTTCTTCTTGCAATTAATTCTTCACAAGTGAGTTATCCCTCTGATAAATTCCTTCCTATAGAATCAGAGGGCTGGAAAGGATCCATGTGAAACCCTGTAATTTGTAAAACTGAAACTCAGGTTGGTTCTGCTTGGTTCACAGAAGCAGAGCCAAGATTAGAACTTAAGTTTCTAAGATCTAGCTCAGTGCTCTTTTGAGGACATCTACCCCTACTGCCTTTTAATTTATTGGTGCAAGTGTTTATGGAGAGCCTACTGTGTGCAAGGTCCTGAAGGCAGTGACTCAGTCTGTCCCCTAGCACACATGCTATAGGCATCCATATAACTCATCCTCCACCACAGGACACTCTTCAGAGGGAATAGAGCTGCCAGGACAATAGTTATAAGCCAGGACTGTACCAGACAAAGCAAGCTACGTGGCCACACTACTTACAGATAACTCCTTGGCATGGGTCACCAAGGCCACATGCAGAGAGGAGACGGAGTGGGGGAATTCGGGCTCAGCAGGGCTTTAGTTCAACCTAGGTCTTCATGGTGCTAGACCTAGAAATGACAATCTCCTGGTGATCATCAGGGTCTTGATTTGTGAACCGTCACCTTTCCAAGCCAGGGTGACTATTGTGCCACTTAAGGAGCAGAATTCCAGGTCGCAGAAGCTTGTGACTCCTGGCTAACTCAGCTGGGAGAGTGCAGGCAAGCTGGAGGAAGTTGCTGGCCCCTGCCTTTTCCCCCAAGATAGCAGTGTTCCTGCTTCTCTACCCCTAAGCGGACTCCTCCTGCCCACGGATCCCTCCATGTGCCCAAAGCCTCTTTTTTCTCCACTGCTTCTTCAGTTTTCTGAATAAAGAGGAACCTTGGAAAGGGTTTGAAGGAGAGATGACCTTCTTGTAGAAGGGAAGATTGTGGTCAAATATTCCTATGTGACATTCATAGCCTGACCTTTATTTAGGGGGCAAGTGAAACAGAATTATAAGCGGAGGGCTGTCATAGAAAATCCAGAACATAACCTTAGATATGCAGAGCGGTGACAGAGGGAGGGGCTGAGAGCTTGGGCTCATATCTGAGTTAGCTGTGTGACCTTGGATATGTCTTTGAAACTCAGTGTTATCGCATATAAAATGAATCAATAGTAGTCCCTACCTCATAAGGAGTGTTGGGAGGATCAAACGAAAGGCGTGTGTTATATTTTCACAGCCCCTACCACACAGTGGAGATTTGGTGAATGTTAGTTATTTGAGGGATGGGATTTTTCTCAGGCTGGACTTCCAAATAAAGAGGTTATGAGTTATTTATTTTTATAATTAAGCATCCAAAGTCATTTGAAGGTCTCCCACAAAAGGGCAAGCATAGTGTTTTCTTCATTGACTAAAGAAGTATTGCGGTTCCTTTGCAGGGCTCTCGGAAGCTTCTGGAACTTGTCAGATATCACATTGTTCCGTTTACCCAGGTTAGCCCTACTCTTCCTGCTACTACTTTCTCCATACTTTAAACATAGCCAACTGTCATCTTTAATTCCAGTATTTGGCTGGGTGCCAGAGAATTTGTGATTTCTTTAATTATCCATAGCTCTGAGGAAACACTCAGCCATGAATAATGAGTCTGTTATCAAAGAAATCTTCAACGCCACAAAAGCTGTGACATCAAAGCTCTCATTTACCTCATAAGCTGTTAAGGACGTTTTTTCAATAACAACTCTTAGACATCAGGACCCTGCATTGCTCCAGAGGTCTCCACCCACATCTTCTCGTTGCAGTTGGAGGTGGCCACTGTCATTTCGACCCCTCACATCAGGAGCATGGCCAACCAGATGATACGGTTCAACACGACCAGCAACGTAAGTGAGAAGCCCACGGATGGCGGCAGTCCTCACGTGTGTTTTGGCCCTGATGACAACCATTCATCAGGTTATCTGGCCTCTGTGCTAACTTGCACCCTTAAATTCTGCGCGACCATCCCACTCATTGGTCCTCTTGCCAGCAAATATCTGCTGAGCACCTGCATACATAACAGTCAGCACTGATGCCAGGGTTAGAGCTAAGAAACAGGCTTCTACCCCTGCGGGGAAAACAAACAACCCATTAGGTGATCCATAAATTTAGCTGCAATTGCAAAGAGTGCCCATTAGAGGGAGCTCAGAGGGCTGTGACACTGCCATTAATACTTGCAGGCAGCAGGCTTGGAGAAACTGGAAATCAGAAATCTTTGTTCTTTGTTCATTTTCTGCTCCCTCCCCTAGAAGCTAACAGAACTTGTCTGTTTACTGATGTCCCCAGTGCCTAAGACAGAGATAACTCAAGGTCAATATCAGTGTATCTGAATGTTTTGCCACAAAGAGGTAGAACAATTTGCCCAAAGCATTGTAGAGCTGGAATAGGTATGTCTCTGCCCAGCACAGCATGTGCGAGGACCTTTCTAGGAGGACATCCTTGCCTGGTTCAGGCACACATGCAATGGCTTCTGGCAGGCCGAGACTTCCAATAGCAACATGCTCCAGTGAAAACTTAAGGGGGGGGTATAAAGATTTTTTAGTGAGGTCACTGCTACTGTATTTTCACCTGCCTGGGGACCACGGGCACTCTGCAGTACAGAATGAAGCATGATGTCACTTCTCTCCAGGGACAGATTCTGGCTAATGAAGTGGCAATGGATGAAACCGAGATCACTGCCAAAAATGGCCGAATTTACACACTGACCGGGGTTCTCATTCCTCCCTCCATCGTCCCAATCCTACCCCATCGATGCGATGAAACAAAGAGAGAAACGAAACTGGTAAGGAAACCAGGAAATAAGGTCCCCAAGCAGCTGCTTCTCACGCTTCTGAGAATGCTGACAAGGACAGGCTTAGCTCAGGGTTGCTGTCTCCATGCAGAGGCAGGTGAGGCTGAGGTTCTAGCTGACCAACTGTGAACCCAACCAAGGTTCCAGGGGCAGTTCCATGACCGATGCTGCCAGGTATGTGATGTTCCTGGGGCTTCCGTAACAAACTACTACAAGCCAGGTGGCTTAACACACTGTTGTTTATTTTCTCACAGTTCTGGAGGCCAGGAGTCTGAAATCAAGGTGTCAGCAGAGCCATCCTCACTCTGAAGGTTCTAAACTCATGAAGTGCTCTTTTTCCTCCTCCTCCTCCCTCTCCCTCTCTTTCTCCCTTATATTTTTCAGACAGGGTCTCACTGTGCTGGCAGATTGGTCCCAAACACATGCACTCAAGTGATCTTTCTACCTCAGCCTCCCAAGTAACTGGGATTAAAGGCATGCATCACTGCACCAGCTAGCTCCCAAATTTCTGATGGCTCCCAGAAGCCCTTGACATGCATTGGTTTACGGCTGCATTACTTCCATCTCTGCCTCCATTTCCAGGTGGCCTTGCTCCCTGTGGGTGTTTGTGTGGGCTCTCCCCTGTTTATAAGGACACCCGTCATTGGATTTAGGACACCCTAACTCAATATGACCTCATCTTAGCCTAACTAATTATATCCACAAAGACATTACTTTCAAATGAGGATTCAGGCTGGGGGGAGGTGACATGAATTTTTGGAGAGTCACTATCTAGCCTACTATATCACAGCTCTGGAGTCAGATCAGGTCTGTTCCCCCCATGGGTTTTAGGAACAGTCTTCTACCTCTTCCTTCTGCCCATCACCTAGGACCACCCTGCTGTAATCCCATACTTTTACTGTTTCCAAGAGGGACTTAACTTTGCTTTGCATATAGATTCTCTGGGCTTGTTAATCAACAATCTTCCTGTAGTTTGTTTCACATTCCAAACTTTCTGTTTCCATATGCATTTCTGAACCTTCTAATGGCCTTTTCTGTTTTCATAGCAACATTTTTGGCCCATCCAGTTTAATCAAAGCACCCCCAAATGCCAATATTGCTCTACAGGCAATCTTGAATTTCCCGTGCAAGCTATAACCTCGAAATTATGGCACTCGTAGGTCGGCTTTTTCTTTTCAGTGCACTTCAATAATGCATCAATAGTTATTCTCATGATGTCTTTGGAACATGGGCACCGACCAAGGAAGATGGCCTTGTTTTATTTTAGCTTGTCCTCTTCTTGATGAGCACTGTAAATAGCACCTAGCACAAGATGGCTCTGACTTTTTGGGTCTAGAATTCTTAATTGATGTATTGACTCTGATATGTCTTAGGCTATTAAGCATAGCTTTTTTCAGTCAAATGCCACCTGGAGGTTATTGTCCTGTTCTAATCACCCCATTTTAAAAGAGGTAGAAAGAAACAGGGTCACTTGCCTAGCTGGTCCCTGGTGATGATGTGTCCGGTTCATGCTTTGGAAACAAGCGTTAGCAGATGCTTTGCCTCTTAGGCCAGGATGAGGATCAGAACAGGCTAGAGAGATTGAGCTCTCTCCTAATCCTGAGCTGAAACTGTTACCAGATTTGGGTCACAAGTCTGGGCTAGAAAGTTCTCAGATTCAAGGACACAGAGGAGACTTATGCAGGAGCAGGTTTATTAATGCAATGCAAAATGGAAGTATACTCTTCAGACGGGAGGGTGGTCAGGCTCAAGACCTCAAGCTTTTATTGGGGTCTGCAGACAAGGGGTTGTCAGTCCTGAAAAACTGAGTTAATGGGTCATTAACTTCCAGTGACTGGGTTATACTTCATCAACTCTTCCCATATGTCAGGCATAGGGGCAGTTTCCTTGGCCTTGGATGGTTTGCACAGGGCTATCATTTTCTGTGAGTTTTGGGAACTATGTGTCAGCAGGACCCTGCTTGCTATATGTCACAACTCATTCTATTAATATCAGCTGTCTAAGATGTGATTCCTTATCAAGATCTGAGTCATGATCCTCAGCCATCAGACTTCCTAACCCCTATATCATTCCTGGCTCAAGGAGTGTGGACCCTTATATTCCATGGGCAGAAGAGCCATAGATCTCTTTCTTCAGAAACTATTTCCTGCTGAATGAGGACATTGGCCCTATCTACAGGTCTGCCATTTCCCTTTGTTGCCCATTAGGGGTTATGGCTGAGACAGGTGGTGGCATAGGATGTGACTACCTGCTTTAAAGGACTAAGATATCTTGTGGTATTGGCTGAAACCCCTGGTGAAGCATCATTTACAGAGAAACGTTTGAAGCCCAACAATTGGGTTTGTTATAGGTTGTTGCTGTGGTCACTACCCATTGCAGGAAGAGGTTCCCTTCAACTGGCAGCAGCAGTAATCTTGCAGGATCCATCTCCCAGCCCTGCTTCTTTGGTTGGACTTGTATATCTAGGTCTATTTTTTTTCCAAAAATAATTTATAAAGAATATATAGGTGAACAATTGCAGTGGCCCCTCTGGGACAGGTGCCTCCCTGCACACATAGATCAGAAGGTTGAGCCTGTGGACAGGCTGGCTCTGCCCAGAATGAAGGACAGGAAGTGCTGCTCTTAGCAGGGACACCTGTGCTGACTCACTGCTCTTTTTCCCAGGGAACTTGTGTGAGCTGCTCCCTGTTGAATTGGAGCAAATGTCCTGCTGACTCTGAGCCTATGGTGAGTATATAGCACAGCTGCATGAAGCCATCCTTCCCAAGTGGTTTCTTGTCCATCCTTCCTTCTTTAAAAGATGTCAGTGCAACTGGTGTAATGTCACTAGTGCTTAACCTGTGTAGGAATGGTAGGAAGAGAACTCACAGATCCATGTTCGAATCCAACCTCACTGACCCCAGGAAAGTTGGCTAACCTTTTTTATCCTAATTTTCCTCGTCTGTAAATAATAATAATAACAATATTAGCATAAATAAAGCCTAAGCATAAAGGTTCCTCTCCACTTCTCCCTCTTAAATAAAATCCAGTGTTTATAATTCACAAGCATTAGTCTGGAGAAAAATAAAAGAAATACCAGGAAAGGTGCATCATCTCAGTTAGACAGGTGGGATTTGTTGCAGTGATTTCACAGGTTAGGCACAGCACAGTGGCCATCATTAATAATAATAAAATGTATATTTCAAAATTGCTGAGATAGATTTTAAATGTTTTCCCCACAAAGAAATAAATATCTGAGGTGATAGTTACGTTAATTAGTTTTATATAATCATTCCACAATAACACATATATTATAATATCACATTGTACCCTGTGTATGTACATAATTTTTATTTGTACATTAAGAATAAAAATAAATAAGACAGGTGTAATAGTGTAAATCTGTAATCCTAGCACCCAAGAGGCCTAGGCTAGAGTTCACGGCTGGCCTAGGCTAGATCGCATGACCCTATCTTAAATGAATAAATATTTAAATAAAATAAATTAATTTAAAGATAAAAATAAATATCAGCAAAATGGCATTTGGAACTATCAAAAGATTTTCAAGGTTGATTGAATTCACACATTTTATTGAGGCTTGATCGTGGTACTTGGTTCTGGAGGCATAAAGATAAATAAGGTTTTGTTTGGTTTGGTTTTGCTTGGTTTGGTCTTAAGAAGTTCTTTTCAAAAAGGAAAGCAAACCATTATACAACAATCTATAGTTCATTTGCCAAGTGTTCTATTGATGGCAAAAGCAACGTGCCATCACGTAAGAAGGATGATAGAAATGTCTGCCTGTAAGTTCATTACAAGAAAGAATTTCCCAACCAGAAAGTTCAGTCAACACTAGAATAGGTCATTTTGGAGAGTGACAAGTTTTTTTCATATAATCCTACTGTGAATTATTTAATAAAGAAAAGCATTAAAATTAAAGAGACTCGGGGTGCTCCGTCACTTGTTTTGCTGAATGAAGCCATCTCCTATGAGTCCTTTAGGATACTGTTGACCAGGGAACAAGAGAGGGAGAAAAGGAAGTCATTTTGAGTGATAACACAGTGACTGCCATGTACCAGACATCATTCTAAAGGATCTATGCAGCAACCCTGGAAGGAGGGGGCTACAGCATAACCACTGTGCAACTGAGGATCCAAGACAAGGAAACAAAACACCTTGCATGAGGTCACACAGCTGACATGTGGCAGAGCCATGACTTGGTCTGTGTTTGACCAACATTCTTATTGCCTCAGCCCTGGGGGAAAAAAAAATGAGATGAATGGGTAGGAGCCAAAAGAGCTCCCAAATCACCCTCCAAGATCCCATGAGCCATCATTAACCTTGGACCAGAAGATGGCTAAAATGTTCCTCCCTTGGTGACCTCAGAATTCCTTTAGATAGCTAGAATTTTAGGATTTTATAGCCTCTTAGTCAAGACCCTAAAAGGAAAGGGTAAACTTGACATAAACATTTATCTGATACAAAATTTGAGCCAGGAACTAAATTCTTATGATAAAACTTGGTATCAGCATTATTTTCCCATTTCACAGATAAAGCACTGAGACTAGTGGAGACTATGTCATTTGCCCATGATCCTAAAGTTAGTAGGCTGTAAGACTTATTCTCTGGACCTGATACTTACTAGTGTTTCTTAGGAAAGAAAATGGTTGTCTGGTCCTGTTTCCTGATCTGTGTAAAAGGCATGGAAAACACTTCACGTGGAGTCGAAGACTGATGTACTTGTATGCAATGTGTCTGGCCCACTGCAAGTTCTCTGGCTAATTATGAGTGGGCATAAAGGGTTAAAGAATGGAAGGATGCATTACATTTGCCCCACACCTAAGGAGAAAGCCTCAAACTATTGCTGTTTTGCTTGGTGGATATTTCCACAAAGTAGACATAGACCCTTTAGCGACTCCAAAATTTCCACACAAGAAGAGCTTAAGGATACCTAGATCAGAAGGGAAGGCCAGGGCACATGCAGGATGAGCCAGAAAGTGCTCCTCGATCAATTACAGGTGTCTGCCGTGATATGACAGCAGGCACCAAGAAGGAAAGAGCCTATGGGAGTAGCAGACCTCCAGCATGGCCCCAGGTGTGCTGGGGTGGCCTATGCTCTGACATCAGTGATGCCATGGAACAGAATGGTGGGCGTGGGGAGAACCACGCCATGCACTGCTTTTGCTCACTGGCTTTCTTCCAGGAACTCTTCACACCCAATTGTGTCTACAGCAGCAGAATAAGGAGCCTGAAGAGGGGCTGTGCCCAATACTGTAATGCCACTGTGAAGGTGAGGCAGGTGCGGTCCGGGTCTCATCCAGGCCACCAAGGGTAGGCAGATCCATGGCCAACATTCTTAAGCCCTGTGGTAATTTAGAATGTGCTCTGACAGGGGAATCGAAGAGCAGCCAAGTCACTCCCTCCCTGAGCCACATCTCTGTGTGTCCCTTCTCCCTCTGAGCACAGAGCGCACACTCTTGACACAGACACATGCAGCCTGACCTCTGCCTGAGCCTCTGACCTATCTCTATCCACAGTCCTGCCTCAGAGCATGTGCACTGGCCATTCCCTCTGTCAGAGTACTCTTCCAGATTTTCAAATCTCCATTTCACTTTCACCTCTGTCACCACCACCATGGCCTCTCCAACTCTCCAGCCCTCAACCTTTGCCTCTACCTGCCACCACATGACTACAGCACTTTGTTTTCCCAGCACTTACCATTCTTTGAAATTACCATTCCTTATGTATTTATGTTTTATTTATTTGTTTATGTAAACTTCTGTATTGACTCTTCCCTGACTAGTACAGGGGCTGAATGACCATGGGTCCTTCATGTGCTTTGCTCACAGCATTAGACCCAGGCCAGTGCCCACAGGAGGGACCCAGTAGGTTTGTGGTAAGCAGGTGGCCGAGCACTAACCAGGTACTGTGTGCAAAAGAGAAAGACAAGTTCATAAAACAAGGGCTCCATTGCTTATTGTACCAATGGAAATTAAAATCTATTTCTTTTGAGGAATCGTCACCCTTCTTGGGGCTCTGTAGAACAATGTGTTGTGTTCCTCAGATACCGAAATGCTGCAAAGGCTTCTACGGACCTGACTGCAACCCCTGTCCAGGAGGCTTCTCGAATCCATGCTCAGGAAATGGACAGGTGAGAAGGACAGTCCCGGATGCACACTGTTTTATAAGTCAAGTTACACAATAATGTTTAAAACTGTTCAACAGTGGCACAATTTAGTTGCTATTCTCAGGAAGTAAAAGAGATGGCTATAAAAGAACAAAGGATGAATGCAGTAGAGGAGTCTAGGTCTGGAGTTGGGAGGAAGAGAGGTTCGGCAATATTGTCTCTAGTCTCTGCTCTCCTAGTGCCCTCCTTGGCACCGAGGGCAGCTCAACAAGGCTTTCTGGACCTCACTTTCTACCTGTGGGAGGTATCAGGGTCTAAGCTTTATGACATTTTAAAAAAATAAATAAATAATACTGCCCAGTGATTGTTTTTATTAACCCATCTGCGAAATCAACTGTAATGTAAAGTCCAAAACTTAAAGGAAGGTAAAAACAGCTGGTTCATTCGGGGAAATTGTAGACCCTGGATATTTAATACAGCCACATCTAAAATATGGCCCTTACAAGGGAAAAGAAAAAAACTATACAACCATGAATGGAGAACATCCACAGAAGATTTTTCAAAAAAGGAAAAGCTAGTACTAATGACTGTGACCAGGTGGTCAGGAAGCCAGCCCACGCTCAACCCGGATGCATGTCAGTCAACACAAATCTGACTTTGCCCAGGCCAGGCAGGTGGGAGAGCAAATGGGAGTTTGTCACTAAAGAGAGATGAGACTGCAGTTTGGAGTCACAGGGCAGAGTCAAGGAAAGTCCAGAGAGCCAGGGAGGTCTTCAGCCAGAGACCCCTGTCTTACCACTGCCTTTCCTTAATCATTGTGTGAAGCTTCCTGGTTCACCAGTGTGATCCCCTCTTGGATAACATACCTTACACTTCTAAATCCTGGCTTAGGATCCCCAACCCCAGGACTGGTTTTGCATCCTATCTAGTACCAAGAGGACTCCACCTCCCACAAAGAGTACCAAAGCATCATTTCAAGTGGGACTGAACCTGAGTTCAAAGTCAGGCCATAAAGCAACAGCATCTGAAACTCCTTCACCTACACACATGACTAATGGCCTACGGTCTGCCTTTGCTCCCAGTGTGCAGATGGCCTCGAGGGCAATGGGACGTGCGCTTGTAAGGATGGCTTCCAGGGCTCCCAGTGTCAGTTCTGCTCTGACCCCAACAAATATGGACCTCGGTGTAACCAAAGTAAGTGGTGCTTCCAGAGCCTCCTTCCACTGGATCCCTCCTGTGCTATACATCTGGTGGTACAGGTCTGGTGTCTTGTGATTTTCACTTAAGGTGAGCCATCATCACAGGGCATTTCTTAAGTGCTGCTGCTTCTCAAACCATAGCATGTGCCAGACAGCTGGGCTCCACCTGCAGCTTCTGACTGAGCAGGAGTGGGACAGGGCCTGAGAGTTTGCATCCCAGGGGAGGCCGACAGTGCTGGTCCAAGAGCCACACTTGAAAACCACGCTCTACATCCCCAAAGTAATTTCCTCCTTTTTAAGTAGTCCTCTTCCAACAGCATCTCCATTTAAGGATGTATGATCTTGAGCAAGTCACTACACTTCCCTAGGCCTCTGTCTTCATCTCTAGAATCAGGATGGTAATACCAGTGACTACGCTGTGTGATTAGCACCAGTGACAAATGGAAAGCTCTTCCTGTAGAACAATGCACCACAAATGTGTTAGCTATTAGTATTTTCTCTCACTGATGTGGCTGTTATTGTAAAAGTGACATAAATATCAAGATGCTTGTACAACATGTGGAGAGTTCTACAATAAGCACTGGAAAATACAGTCATACAATACAATCTTAGAAAGTGAATTATTCCTTAAAACAGTGTCCTGTGAATATTTAAATATGTGTATCTCAGCTATTTACTTCTAAGCTCAGATTAGAACTTAACAATACAGTAAAATGAATAGTTAAGAGCTTCCTGTGGAGTCAGACCAACCTGAAGTTAAATTCGCATCCTGCAATTTATTGGCTGTGACCTGAGGAAAGGTCTTTCAGTTTCTCCACCTAGAAAATGAGGATAATATGGTACAATTGTCCCTCAAATCCACGGGAGTTAGTTCTGGGACACCCCCACCCCTAGTACCAAAATCTGCAGATCCTCTAGTCCTTTGTGAAAACAGTGTAACATTTGCATAGACCTCACACATCTTCCTGTATACTTAAATCATCGCTAGGCCACTTCTAATACCAAATGCAATATAAGTGCTACATCAATCGTTATTATACTATGTCATTTAGGCACTGATGACCAAAAAAGACTACACATGTTTAAAATAGACACGACTGTTTTCTGGAATTTTTTTTGTTGGGGTAGTATACTGGAATTTGAATCCAGGACTTTGTACTCTACCACTTGAGCCATACCTCTAAGCCCATTTGCTCCAACTATTTTGGAAATAGCCTTTTGCTTTTTCCCTGTCTGACCTGGACTGCTACCCTCCTATTTTACACTTCCTATAGGATGATAGGCATGCACTACTGTGCATTGCTATTTGTTGCGGCAGGGGGAGGAGAGTGGAGGGGTGTCACACAAACTTGTTTTTTTGCCCAGCTGGCCTTGAGCCACTATCCTTCCAATGTCAGCCTCCCAAGTAGCTAAGATTACAGGTGTGAGCCACCAGTCACAAGCTTCTGGAATATTTTTGATCCAAGTTTGGTTTGGTTGAATCCGTGAGTGTAAGATCCAGGGATAGTTCATAGGCAGTAGACAAGATTAACTTAAATAATAATTGAGAGCTTCCATCTCAGAGATTGTAACTAGCAAGTAATTAACAGACAAAGCCACATGTACTGCTATTCCTCCTAGCTCCACCTATCTGATACAAAACACACCTCCCTTCCCCTGTCTTACTCTATTCTATCTTCACAATGCCCCCGGAGATGGACAAGAAACCAGAGCACAGCAGGTCAGGGCTGCTGAATCCTATCCTACTGCTCTTTTTGCCAAATAAGATTTCTGAAACACAAAATTAAATTCATTCCGAGGCCTGGTTCCTTGGTATTTATCTGGATGCAGAGCTTGGGACAGGGGCAGTGGCCCTCCAGCTCTAATGCCTCTCATCCCATGTCTGTGGCTATCCAAAAATCCCACATGGGAGTCTTGCTCCTTGAAAATTAAGCCTTGGCTTAGTAAAAATGTTATAAAAGTTATTTTCTGTTTTAAATCCAGCTGTGCATTTCCAGAGCTCCTCGATTGAGTTTGTCTTCTTTTTACTGGATGTTGGGTCCAAGCCAACCACACCGCCTCCCATCTCATCAGTCCTTTATTTAAGGTCGTATTTCAAGCCCCCAAATCCTTAAGCTTTCCTTTGAGAATCAATGTGTGCCTCTCCTTCTCACAGCCCCATGCATGAGCACCTAAGTCTGAGGAGCTCACTTTCCAATTTTTAAATCTCTATAATCAGAAGCAAAGTTGAAATGATAAGAGAGGTGTGGAGATGCTGGTTGATGTAGTGATTGCTGTGATTTCACATAGTCACTAATAGAAATGGACTTTGAAGGCCCAGGTTTGAGACCCTGCTTGGAAACTTAGCAGGAAGTTGGGTGATATTCTTCACTTTTCTGGGCCTCAGTTTCTGCATCTGGAAAGTAGAGGTGATAAAAGCATGGCCTCTGGGACTGTGGTGTGTACAAAAGGCTGGTCCAGAGCCTTGAATGTAGTCATGGTCCAAATATTAGCCATTAGTTATCACAGGTTTGCTGTGACAGAGGGCAGAACAAACACTGAGCCCAACAGGGGCTCTGCCAACATGAGAAGTCACTTTTATTTATCCAGAAGATCTCAGGAGGAAGTGAAAAATTTCTTGGCTAAACTCTCCAACCTCAAAGCAGTTGAAAACTTGGTTTCTTGACCTCTTTTACCATATCACAAGTCACCCTCTCCCCCACACCCCACACAGATACATAGAAAGTACCCTGGGGACCAAGTTCTCCTCCTGGGACCATAAGATCTCCCTTGGCTGAGACCCTGCACTCCCTCTGTACAACATAGGCTCTGCCTTAACAAGAGTGGGTGTGGGGTGAGAGGAGGTAGTCCCTGTCTTCCAGGATGCTGTGCCTGGATGCTAAGCTTGTTCCCTAAATGTGTCATTTCTTCCAGCATGCCTGTGTGTTCACGGAGCGTGTGATAACAGGATAGACAGTTCAGGGGCCTGCCTCAGTGGCACATGCAGAAACGGCACAGCCGGGAGATTCTGTGACAAGCAGACTTCAGCCTGTGGGCCCTATGTTCAGTTCTGTCACATCCATGCCACTTGCCACTACAGCAATGGGACTGCCAGGTAGGTCTGGGAGGGGTGGACCCTTCCCAATCTATGGTCACTGTCTAAACTCTTTGTAAACTAAGGTCTGTACTCTCCAACTGACAGCATGACTTTTGTGGAAGAACTTCAGGTTGAGCTACATTCAAATTGTGCAGTACTCCCTGTTTTAAAACTTACCTGCTGTATGACCTTGGGCAAGTTAATTTGCCTCTCTGAGCCTTACTTTCCTCATTAATACTGATGATACCGATCTAACTGGGCAATGGTGGAGATCAAAAGAATTGATGTACACCAGGGGTGGCACATCATAGATCTCCATTACAGACACTGTAACTGTCATTGCAAATGTGAAAACAATGAAAATTTGCCATCAACTTCCCAACCTTTGAAGACACCTCCCCTGTTGAGGCATTTTGCATGCTACTGTGACTTTCATTAATGGCTTGACACTTACTTCCTTCAAACTATCTAACACCTCTAACAGCATGTGGGCTTGAGGGGTGGGAAGACCAGTGGGAAGTGACCATTCCTCTCTGGGAATACCTGGTTCAAAGGAAGTAACCCCCATCTCCACCCCAAGCATCTTTGGGGGTGCAGAGATGTCCAGAATTTCTGGCCCTATTCTTACGCCAAGTTTCTTAATTTGTATTTACACATTTATTTGCCTATTGTTTGTCTCTACCACTAGACTGCAGGCTATATGAGGCCAGAGACTGGGCCTTTTCTTTCCCAAAGTTGTATGATAGAAATGAACCTTTCTAAGGAATTCAGATCTGTGCCTGTGCATAAAGCAAAAATCACATGTCATAAAAAACCTCTTACATCAACCCCAGCGGACTACCTGCCTGTACAATGTCACCTTCAGAAACTCAAAAGGGTTGGAAAAGATCAACTATTTCTTCATGTGAACACCAGATAAAATGTGGAGCTCCTCTAGCAACCTTGACCCATGAGCAGTAGGTTTTAAATTTTTGTGAAGCATATGTGACTGAGTTTGCAGGAGGACACAGGCTGGAATGGAGCCACTTGGTGTCCCAAAGCAGCCATCCCGAGCACTCCATCAAGATTGGTTGAGCCAATGTATAAATGAATGGATGACTGGTCCACATTTAGTAGCAAAAGACTGCTCAGCTCACAGAATGAGGCACCTGAGAACGCTGAGCCTAGGGAGAAAAAGAAATATTGGAGGGCCCAGTGAAGGGGAGAGAAGTCTCACCTGTCATTTGTAAATATTTTCAGATCAATCACATAGATAGAGCTGTTCTCTGCTTGAAGCTAGTTATCTCTAGCACTGAGCAGAGCAGGTCCAATAAAAGCAGAAAAGTGGCCAGTTATTGAGCTTCATGGTGTCCAAGTGACTGCTACACACTCATGTACATTCAATCGTCTTCACCATGGCTTATGCAGGCAGTGTTAGACCCATTTTCCAGATAAGAAAATGAAGCCTTCCAGCTGTTAAAGAGACTCAGGCAGGGTCACACACCTGCTTAGCTGTGGGCCCTGGATTCCCCCCATACAGGCGTGTCTGACTGCAGGCCCCAGGGGTAGCCCTGAACCCCTTTGCACACCAGCTTAAGAGCTAACGCTGCCTGGCAGAAAGTGGTTCCTCCCTTACTGGCTGACTGTCCCTGCTCTGGGTGGTGGGTGCTTATGTCTCTGTGGCTGATTCTGTGTGTTCTTCTTCACAGCTGCGTTTGCAAGGAAGGCTACAGAGGAGACGGAACTCTGTGCTCTGAGAAGGACCCTTGCGTGGGATTAGCCCCAGGCGGTTGTAGTCGCAATGTGAGTATCGGTCTTTATTATCAAGCTATCTGGGTGATTTTTTTTTTTAAAGAAAATCCTGGAGAAAAGCAATCTAAAAGGCCATGTCTAATCACTTTCAGTTTGAATGAAGCACTTGGGTTTGAACTTTGAATTCTAAAGAAGGGAGCCTCTACTCCCTAAATCCAAATATGCGGGGCTCTTAAGAGATGCTAAGATATTAAGATCAGTCGTAATAACTCTTGATTAAAATTGACAGCTTATAAGCTTTCCCACTACACCATCCATCATTGAATATTTGTAATATTAGGATGAGTTTTCATGTTCCTAACCTAGCTACATATTTACTTTTGAAATTTTTCTGTGGATATGAACAATTTCCAAATTTAAGTATGCATATAAATTATAAAGTTGTATCATAGAAAGTTATGTTACTGCTGACTGCAGACAATTAAAATATTTCTCTTATAAAATAAATAAATAAATAAATAAAAATAAAATTGACAGCTTACAGGGGACTCTAATACATTTGACCTCTCTTGTTCCTTCTATGGATCCAGCAAAGTACATACTGCCATCCCCATTTTCCTGAAGAGAAACTGAGGCTCAGGAAAGCTAAGTAGCTACCCTAAATTCTGTGGGAAAGCCAGACCCATCACCACTTTTCCTAGAAACTTTCAAATACTGCCACCACCACTTGACCCTAGCCGCCCTCATTCTTCACCAATGGCTTAACATCTGCTCCTTCCTTCCTCCTGTGCTACCCACAGAACGGTGTCCACCCACAGCCTGAGTTGCCTGAGTGAACCAGATCCCTTCTCCTGGGCTTAAACCACTTCAGAAACTGCCCTGGGTTCTGGGGATGAAATCTAGACACAACTGCCAGTCCCGCCCACCTCAGATTCCCCTTGGACAAGCCCCATCCACCTCTGACAACCCATCTCAACAACTTAGCCCGCTCCTCCCCTCCTTCCTGTCCTGTCCTTCAGCCTCCTGTGTGGTTGTCCTGAGAGGCTGGGGGTTGGTATAGCGGTGAGAGCTTGGATCCAACATCACAGACCTGGGTTCATGCCTCTTTGTGGCTCTGCGACATGTTTCCTCATCTCTAAAACAGAGATAGCAGTGCCTTCTTCAAGGTGATTGTCTACACCTGCAAACCAATAAAAACAGCCCTCTGGCTTAACCAATAGCTCAGTGACGAGTGGTGGCCATCAGCTGGCCAGCTCCAAGCAGTTTTGCTGTTTCAGTCACCTCATCTTTTCACTGATGCTCGTGCAATTAATCATTCCAGTCATTTCCATTGCACACCTTGCAAATAGGTGTTTCTAGAACATACCTCTGGATCCTTTCTGACTTTTGGCACCATGTGGCTGGAAGGTGATTTCAGAAGTCTTGCTCTGTCTCTTCCTTCTGCAGGCAGAATGCATCAGAACTGGCACAGGGAGCCACACCTGTGTGTGCCAGCAGGGCTGGACAGGGAACGGGAGAGATTGTGTAGAGATCAACAACTGCCTGCTACCCAGTGCCGGCAGCTGTCACAACAATGCCACCTGCTTGTACGTAGGCCCTGGGCAGGTAGGTAGCATGGGGAAGAAAATGAAGGGGAGGCAGATTGCTGCAGTGACATTTTCCCCTAGTCACAGAGCACTTTGGCTACAAGGTACTGCAGCTTTTTTCTATCATCTGTAGCAGTGAAAATGGGTTAATTTTCAAAAACCTATGACATGGGTATTAATACTGTTCTGTGTTCCAGAAGAAGTTGAGGCCTTTAAGAGGCTATGTAATTTGCTCACATCACTTAGAAAACAAATCATGGTGAAATTCGCACTCAGCATTGGAATCCAGCACTACCTTTTCAGTCGCCCTCCTGTACCACACTTAATATTTCTGTAGCACTCTAGAGCTTATTGCTCTTTTTTCCCTTGGCCTCATTCAATGGAGATCAAGGCAAAGAAGGCCACTGTTTGGTCATTAGTGTGCTCCAGGGGAGGTGCTGCCAACCACACTGGGATTGTGGTCATGGAAAAGATGGGGCTCTATTCCCCCATCCATTCCTGTTTGCTTCCACCTCTCAACAGAGAAAGGAGGAGCAGGTGTTTTCTACAAAGCCAAGGGGACACAAGACATGGAAGATAGGAACCAGGATTTGAAACTACCTTCCCCCCATCTTTTGAATCAATGCAACTTCCCACTGTTATGGTTTAAGGCTGGGCTTAAAAAAAAAAAACCTCCACATGATTTTCTGTTCCATGGAACTGTATTTTTCCCATGGTGTAAGGCCCAACCTTCCTCAGCATGAGAGTTTTCAGGCTTTCATCCCAAGCTTTCCAGGTGTTGGACCTCACATTTCTCTGCATGTGTCAGTAACCAGGGAAACACAAAGCTTGAGGGGATCTTAAAGCCCAGCTAGTGCCTTTCCTTTCTACTGGGGAGGAAGTTGCCAAAAAATGAAGATCTGGACTGGCTAAGGTATAAAGATGGAAGTTTCAGCTGGGCACTGGTGGCTTACGCCTGTAATCCTAGCTACTCAGGAGGCAGAGATCAGGAGGATTGCAGTTTGAAGCCAGGCTGGGCAAATAGTTCAAGAGACCCTATCTCAAAAAAACCCATCACAAAAAAGCACGGTGGAGTGGCTCAAGGTGAAGGCCCCGAGTTCAAGCCCCAGTAAGTGCCACCCCCCTCCAAAAAAAAAGAAGGAACAAGGGATCAAGCACCTCTCTTGAGGGGCCAGTGCAGAGCTGCACACACGTGCAGGTGTAAATTGGTGGCCAGCCTCGGACAGCCACCTCCCTCATTTTTCTACCTTTTCTCAGGTGCCACTGGGCTCTGTGGTGGGGATCAGAAATTACCAGGGCCAGGGCTCTCAGGCATCTCTGAAGAAACACAATCTAGTGCAAGGCGACCAACACACTAATGAATAACAAAGTGACAAATGCTCTAAAATCTGACCAGAGGAGGCTCATGGTCTGTTTGGTCCTCAGCACCTGGGGGCTGCTCTCCTGTCAATAATTCTGATATCTCTGACAGCAGAGCCTGCTCGTGGGTCTGGAGTAAATGAATTTTCAAATGTGGCCCCAGGAGTCCCAGTGATGGACTCCTGTCTCACCAAGCACTTAGTAATCAAAGGGGTTAGTTTTCGACTCACTTGAATTGCCAGGTTGTACTTGAGAAAAAAACCCAGAAATATCTAGGTGTCTGCGTCAATTCTTTAGGGCTTCTATAACAAAATGCCACAAATTTGGTGGCGTAGAGTGACAAAAGTGTATGGTCCCACAGTTCTGGAGGCTGGAAGCCTGAGATCCAGGTGTCAAGTGGGTTGGTCCCTTCCAATGGCTGTGAGAGAGGATCTGTCTCTCACTTTCCCCCTATCCTTGGGTCACTTGCTGGCCACTTTTGGCATTCCTTGGCTTGGAGATGCGTCACTTGGTCACCATCTTCATATACACATGGCGGTCTCTCTGGGCTCATGTCTCCAATTTTCTCCTTTTTGTAAGGACACTGGTCATAGTGGATTCGGAGTCCATCTACTCCAGTGTGACCTCATCTTAACTAATTATGTAATAGCAACCTTATCTCCAAATAAGGTCACACATTCTGAGGTACTGGAGGTCAGGATATCAACATATGAATTTGGGGTTAAGAGTTTCCTCTCTCAGTCTTCCTTTCCACGGATAAATGTGAAAAGCACCCTGATGGGAACGAGGAGGATGAGAGAGTCTCTTTACAGCTCATGTAAGAAACAGAGTAGACCCTAGCTGGGATTGCCTTCTATTGGTCATAGTTGACTTGAAAACTTTTCAAAATACTAAATAACTGCTAGCCTAATGACCAGGAATGTTGCTTCAAAAAGACAAACCACACTTGGGCCAAATATGCCAAGAGGCTGTCAGGGTCAGAAGTTGGGGGGCGGGGTGCAGCACCACGCCATGTGGAGGAGATTAAACACTCTGTTGATAAGGTTGGGCTCTGCCATGCCCAGTTGTGTGCAGGTCCTTATGGACTTGTATGCAAGATAAACACATTTACCTTATAAAGCACACATATCAGGGAATATTCATGCCTTCATTTATAAGAGGCTCTATTCACGTCCTTCTTTAACCTACTGGATTATCTTGTATTGATCACTGGGGGGTACACGTACATTCTTTTGAACCCAGTGTTAATGAACCCTTCAATCACACCCACGCACACCATCCCTGAATCTGTTCACTCCTCCTGGCTTTTGCCCTCAGCTTGGATGCCCGTGCACCCCCCTCTCCTCTGAGCAACGGCTGTCCCTCACACAAGCATTCATGTGCCAAAAGGGATGGCCGCAAAGCTTACACTTTCTCTTGTTTTTCAGGGTTTATTAGGGTCGGACCCTTCTTTTTTACTTTTTAATAAAAAAGTAGTGTGCTTCCTCTAGATTCACTGAGCAGGTGAATTTCAGTAAGGTATTCCTTCTGCACAGACAAGCCACAGCACATGGCTCTACAGATAGACAGCACCTTCAGAAAGTGCCCATCTGTGACAGCTGAGTCTCCTGTTGGAGACTAGATTGCTGATTCCATAATAGTTGGGTTTTTTTAATCAATTGAAAAAATTACTTCTTTTACGTTTTAAATTTCAAGATATTGCATAATAGTGGAAAACACTTGGGAAGCTTAAGTAAGGAAACAAATTAAAGTCACTCACAGTGCTCCACAATCACTACTTGCATTCTGATCTTTTTTCTTCTGTTCTTTTTCATGCCTCGGTTTTAGTTTCCTTTACAATGTTGTGATCACAGCTTTGTTGGTGCCCTGCCTGCACTTAACACCAACATTTTCTTATTTGTCACACAACTCATTTTCATCAACCTAAGGTATTGATTAGCAATGTGATCGGAGCCACTAAACCTCTGCTTCTGTGGTTTAGTTTATGGACAGCACCACGTGCATAGCCCATGGGGAAGTAGGGTGAAATGAAGCCTACCCTGTACCCTGCTTACCAGTGTGAACCCCGCGGTTCACACTAGAAGGAACACATTCTGGTTGCACAGAGGTGCTGTCCACCCACTGAACAATGTGCTGTGACTTATCTCTGCAGGCGTGATACCTTACCAAAGTCACCTGCTCGGAGGGAAGCCTCCTCTAAACTGAGCAGAATGCCTCTGGATGGCAGTGGCCTCAGGTGTGGAGCTCCACCAAGTGGATCTTCGTGGTTGCTTAACATTTCTGTCTTAGGTACAGGGACTAACATTCCCAATGTGACACTCTGTAGGATTTGTTTACTCTGAGACTACCTCTTTATACCCTTCTGGGGTCAAAAATTCAAAAAGAAGCCAGGCCCCAGTAGTTCACATCTATAATCCTAGCTACTTGGGAGGCTGAGATAGAGAGGATCACAGTTCAAGACCAGCCCAGGCAAAAAATTAGCAAAACCTCATCTCAAGCAATAGCTTGGCACAGTGTTGACCACCTGTCATCCCAAGCTATGTGAGAGGCATAGATCGGGAGGATCAAGGATCCAGGCTAGCCTGGGCAAAAAAGCAAGACCCTATCTCCAAAATAACTGAGCAAAAGGAGCTGGAGTTGTGGCTCAAGTGGTAGAGCACTTTCCTAACAAGTGCAAAGCCCTGAGTTCAAACCCCAGTACCACCACCAATAATAACAATTTGAAAAGAAAGTACCAAGGAACTATCAGATTGGAAACTCTAATATAAAGTGAGTAGGCTAACTGCCATGGAAGGTGAAATATAACAAGCAAGAGACGCCAGCACCATTCTCTAGGACAGCTGGACGACCATGGTTTCCTGTTTGCTCTAGGGCATGCGCGGGCCAGGCGTGGGAAGCACTGGCTTTCCTAATGTTCTCTGTGTTCTTGAACTCATAGAACGAATGTGAGTGCAAGAAAGGGTTTCGAGGAAACGGGGTTGACTGTGAACCAATAATTTCATGCTTGGAGCAAACCGGGAAATGTCACCCACTGGTGAGTTTACTTGACTGTTTTTCATTACTAAACAAGATACTTGAGAAAGAAAGGAAGTTAGGTTATTGGTTATTTTTGTCACAGTCACAAAATACCCAAGAAAACAGCTTAAGGGAAGAAGAATTTATTTTGGCTCATGGTTTCAGAGGAAACGGTCCCTCCACTGCATTGCCTCTGGGCCCATGGGAGATGAGGCAAGCAGATCAGGTGGAGCAAAGTGCTCACCTGATGGCAGACAGGAGACAGAGAGGAAGGGACCATAGACAAGATGTGTCCCCAGAGACCTACTTCCCTCCATAGGCCACCCTCTCAAAGTTTCCAATAACACTATTAATTTATGAATCCATCAGTGGATTAATCCACTCATAAAGTCAGAGTTCTCGTGATCCAATCACTTCCCCAAAACCCATCTTTTCACATGATGCATTGGGGAACAAGCCCCCAACACACGAGCCTTTGGGGGAATAATTCATATCCACACTATAACAGCTAACACCATTTTAGAGCTTTGAAGAACCAACCTAAGGTTACCAGATAAAATACAGAACACCCCACTGAATTTGAATTTCAGATACATAATCAGTAAGTTTTTAGCAGAAGTATGGATACGGTATTTCATGAGACAAGCTACACTAAAACATACTCTACACTCAAGTCTGTGTGTCTTGTATTTTTTCAGTTGCTAGATGTGGCAGGGATGAAATGAAAGACTTCAGTTCTGATTAAATAAGAGCTGCAGACAGAACCTCAGATAGCAACACTGAAGGATTCCACCATCTTTCAGCCCTGAGTTTGCAGTTCTTACCCTACATGGGGACTGTTGACTCACAGACGTAACTCAGATCTAACACTTTCCTTAGGAAACAAGTCATTTCCTTCCTTGGTTTTCTCAGGCAACCTGTGAGTTTGCTTCTTCTGGTGTCTGGAGGTGTGTGTGTCAAGAGGGCTATGAAGGAGATGGTCTCCTGTGTTATGGAAACGCAGCCATGGTAAGTCACTCACAAGGACCTCAAATGCGAGTGACAGAGGCCACGCCTGGAAGGACAGTGAGGCTCTGAGCTAAGAAGCCTCAGACTCACTCCATCCACACGCCATTTGCTGCAGGAGATTTTGCTTGAAGCCAGCTGCGTCTCACACACGCCATGTGCACCATGTGCGCTCTGTGAGTCCCTCATTCCCACAGGCTACGGGGAGCTAACTTTCATTTGGCACCTTCGTATGCTAAGTAGTCCTGACATCTCTTGTTTTCCCATCCACCTGTTACTCAAACTTCCCAAATGACCAACTAACTGGCCTCTGGCTGTCTGGGATCCTCTGTGTGGGTTGGGTGCCTCCCATAGGTACCCAAAATACACTGGGCTTGCCTCTATCAGGAGGTATGTGTGAGCATGTGTGCGCATGAAGTGAGCACTCTCCTGTGCCAGGCATCTTCCTTACTATGCTACAGAATCTCAGTGAACCCTCACAACAACCCTCCAGGGTTGGTGGTATATTATGCCCATTTTACAGGTGAGGAAACTGAGAGGCTAAGCAAACTTGCCTGGGGTCAGTAGATCTAAGTGCATGGAGTACTCCATAGAATGTGATGGAGTTTTCTATCCATCATCACTCCCCATACAAGTCTCTGTCTCCCCAGCACTGCAGCAAGCTCGGGGAAGATCTTCATCTTGACCCTATGTTACTCCCGTTGCTTATAAATATTTCTCAAGATGAGAAATAAAGTAAATGGATGAATTTTCTCAGCACTCCATTTTTGCTCCCCCTCTCCTCTCCACTGAACGTTTGGTTTGGGGTGCAGCCTCCCAACTTGACAGCCACGCTCCAGTGCTCACCCAGGCATGGGGCATCACATGCATTTAGCTTCCACTCATCTTCCACTCACCGTGTTAGGCCCAGCAGCTCCCTGACCCCCACATCTCAGCACGGTCCTAGTGCCACATCCCCTAAAACCCCAAATTCAGCTTCCACAATGTCCCTGCCCTCCAGGGAAAACAAGCTGAGGTCTGAGTCCTCGGCCTGGCCCTCCAGCTCCACTCACCTGTTCTCCAAACAACCTCCCCTCCAGCTTGGCTGCCATTGCCCTGGGCCCATGCCTGGCCATGTCCCTCTGCCCCGGACCAGACTCTGGCCTTTCTGCCATCAGTTGGGGTCCAATTTAGGTCCTCTGCTCCCTCAACCTAACCCCTTTAAGGGACATCTCAAGCATCTCACCTCTGTGCTCATTTATTTGTTTCACTTTTTAACATGGATTTACCAATTTATTTAATAATTTCAACTGATCACAAAGATAAAAAATATCATATGATATCTTTTATGATATCATATTATTACTGTTTAATAGTTTTAGATGCTGTTGTACACATTAATGCACTTAATTCTCATAATGCCAAGAGGAAAGCCTCATTGTGTTCAATTTTCACACAAGGCCCTGTGTTCTCAGAGAGGTTAAGTGACTTTTCCAAGGTCACACAGCTAGTAAATGGCAAACCCAAAAATTGAACCCAGTCTTTTTTTAACACAAAGTCTTAGAGCTTTTAAAAAAAAACTCTGTCACACCTTCTGACTGACAATGTTGGTTATCTTTTCCAATCTTTACTTCCCCAAAACGACTAGCAGAGGCCACCTTCTCCCTCCATATCCTGTATCCTTCCTATGTCCACTGTGGTGGCTCCTTATATTTGTTCATGAATTAACAAATTGCACAGTGAGCCAGTTCATTTTAAGAACTTTAACTCCTCCGTTTCTCACATCAACTCTACGAGCTGTAGCTTTTTTATTGCCACTTTACAGATGAGGAAAACTGAGGTCCACAAAGTAACTTAGCTGGCAAAATAGGACACGGGTAAGCCAGAATGAAAATTCTGGTGGTTTGTGTCCATGCGCCAAGCCGCTACTCCACATTGGCTCTGAGTGGGGGCTGTTCACTGAGCTGTGTCCCTTCTTAGGGCTGTGTTCTCACAAACTAAATTCTGACTTGAAAGAACTTCATTCAGATTGTTGTCGGCATTTGAAGTTGCTAGAATTAATTCTCCACCGCCATATAGAGGATAATTGAGCCTCTGGAGTGTGAAACAAATGTGCAACTGAAATTCAGTGAGCTGGGGGCACACACTCAGGGCAGCCAGTATGGCGAAGTGCAGGCTGCCCAGAAATGCCCAGTGACGGTGCTCTCTCTGTCCCTTCTCTGTGTTCTCTCTGTCTCTCCCTCCTTCCGTACATGAAATGAATAAGGAATTGTCATTCCTCTCCGAAGCAGCTGTGTTTAACCAATGGATAAACGTGAGTACTTTCATGGCAGTTTAAATTGGCAACCTGCAGAATGTTAGAAAGTTGGAATGTACATAAAATAAAACTGGAAATGCAGCTGGGAGGGTAGGAGGGGGTCCTGCCCTGGTCAGAAGTTCTCAGCCTGACTGCAGTTTAGACTCTCAGGGACCATTTTTCTACAGTCTTGCCAGGGCCACCCCCACCCCCAGACTCTGATGTGATAGGTCAGAGGTTTGCCCTGGGCATCTGTGTATTCTAAAACACTGACCAGTGATACTACCATACAACAAGGGCCGAGAACTTCTGGTCCAGGACAAACTGGGATGGGCAGATTTTTCAGTCAGATCAAATATATATGGACAGCGTCACCCTTCAACACAGGTGTTTTGTTTTGTTTTGACAGTACTGGGATTTAAACTCAGGACTTTGTGCTTGCTAGGCAGGCACTCTACCACTTGAGCCCACAGGTCTTTTATTTTTTCTTTTTTTAAGTTAACACAATTCATGTTGTAATTTACCACATTAGATTCTAATTTATAGTGCCACCTGGGATAATTGAGGTTAGCTTAGCTCTCAGCTAACACCCCTGGGAGGTATTATAATAAAGAATCCAATCCCCACCCTGCCCAGTTGTCTGGGTCTCTGTCCTCTTTGACTGAATGGACCAAGGCATCTGGCCCAGTGGCCATGATGACAAATAATTTACTCCCTTTAAATAGGGCCACCTGGTCAGCACCCGCTCCCGGACAGCTCCCCGTTGCTTCCTATAGCACCTCAGATCCTCAGAAGGGCGGAGCCTTGCTTGAGCATGCTGATTTCCACCCTAGCCACCATGCATGCACACACTTGCCCATCGGTGTGTTAACCCCACTCTCGCTAGCCCTCTACAGCTGATTGGGCTCATTGTCCCCAACTTCACTTCCAATACTCTCACCTTGGTAGCCCTGATGGAAGCATTTTCACAAGAGAAATCAGCAAAAGCTACAAACCAGGGTCTAGGGTTTTGTTTTATCCTGGCGATCCAAATCTTAAGCATAACATGCACTGCTTCCACCAAGGAGTGGCTCCCTAGGCAAAGTTAAGTGTGGGTTAAGTTTGATTCCAGGCCTACAGGCTCTCTCTCACTGAAATTGTTCCTGCAATCTCCTCACCATCCTCACTCTAATAACATCGAAGAATTCACGTGGTCCTTTGTGTGTGCATACACACATGCACACACAACCCCATCAAGACTATTTCTATGACTCTTCATTTAGACTAGAGTGTGGACTTATAATGACCCCAAGTGTGACCTAATCATGAAATTTTGAAAATGCTCACACATTTAAATAAAAAGAATGAGTCTCATGAAAAAGTATGAGGCATCGGGCAGTGACCAGAGTATGGACTGGGGAAAAGGAGACCCTAGAATCTTCCCAGGGTCCCTGGATTTACATCACATGGGAAACTGTTGTCTCTGCCAAGCATTTAAGCCAGCCTGTCCGTCCCGCCGTGAGTCGGGTCACTTTATTTTCCTCCTGTGATTCAGAATGCCTCTCTACAACCCATGCTGTCCACCACCTTGAATCTCACTGTCCTCGTGCCTTCCCAGCAAGCTATTGAGGACATGGACCAAGATGAGAAGAACTTTTGGTTGTCACAGAGCAATATTCCAGCCCTAATAAAGTAGGTGTCACTTATTTTATTCTCCGTGACTTCTGACCGGCATTCCGTGTGAGCATAGCTCTGAAGTTCAGTGTGGGGAGGGATCCATGTGGTCCTTCAAAATCCATGGGCTGGAGCATGTCCTAGATCCCCCATCCCCAGAGAGAGTTAGAACCTGTTGACAGCTGACTGCGGACCAAGCACTGCTCTCTGCTTTATGTGTAACTCAGTTAACCTTCCCAACACCCCTAAGAGGTAGGTGTTATAATTATTGCTATTTACAAATGTGGAAATGGAGGCTCTGGGTGGTTAATAACTCCAGCTAAGGCTGCTAACTGCAGGGATATTTGAATTTTGAATTTGGCAGTCTGGCTCCAACGCTATTCTCCTGATGCCACAGTGTTACTGTCTTGCACACTAACATTTAGTTGTAACCCTATGGCCTGGCATTGTAGGTATCACACGCTGCTCGGCACCTATGGGGTGGCAGACCTGCAGACCCTGACATCTTCTGACACGCTAGCAACATCATTGCAGGGCATCTTCCTTCACCTGGACAAGGCAAATGGGGTAAGACGGTCCTGCCACCCAGCTGTCTAGTTGAAACATGGCGCCTTTGTTCATGTTGCACTTTTTAATTCTTTGTAGTATGGAAACTCCCAAATATGTGTAAAAATAGAGGGACTGGAACCCCCATATGGGCATCACCCGGTTTCCACAATTAGCATCGCACACACACACACACACACACACACACACACACACTAGGTGACAGCAGTGACACTATAGACTGATCCAGGAAGGGTAAAATATGTGTAGTGCACAACTTTTATTTTGGTTTCAAGTTAACTAACTGGTTACTAGTCACCTACTAACAGAGTCATTACAGATAACTCAAATTTAAAGTAAGTTGAGCTAGCCACAAGTGTGCATTGAGTACCTGCGGTGGACAAGCACAGGTCTCAGTGCTGAGGGTTCACCCTTAAAACCCACATGGAAGTCTAGCTGCCTGGCTGCATGTGGCAGTGTTAAAGATCTTCTGTGAATTACACGAGATGAGAATGAGTCTCCACCATAGAGTGAGAACTGCTACATCTGTGGCTCACACACCATAGTCAAAAAAGTCTGAGAATCACAACTGGAAAACATTCCTACCTTCCTGCTCAGCAGTGTGAGCACCGAGGGACCCTAAATATATCTGGCTCGTGGAATGACCCGTTTTAGAAAGCAGAAAACACTCACACAGGGTCCCATGGATATTGTTGTGTATTTGGATAATTCTGGTGACACTCACGTTATTGTCAGAGATTTTTTAATAAAAATATGAGGTAGGCTAAAGAGTATAAGAACAGAGTCAGCTAGGAGGAATTGGATCTGGTTACTACTACACAGAAGGATCACAGTATTACAGCATCTAAACCAAATAGCTAAAGGAGTGGATTCATCACAAAGAAATGACAAATAATTGAGATGATAGATAGCTTAAATATCCTGAATTGATCATTACACAATGTACACAATGTGTAGTAAAACATTAAACTGAACCACATAAATATATACAACTATTTTTAAATGAATTTTTAAAAATTACATACTTAATGAGTACATGATGTTCCATGTGCACCTATGGGATGTACTCATTAAGTATGTACCCATGTGAATGGTTACTATTGTCATGCTAATTCATTGGTGTTTTAAGCCACTGATTTTTTTTTCATTTTTCTTTTATTATTCATATGTGCATACAAGGCTTGGTTCATTTCTCCCCCCTGCCCCCACTCCCTCCCTAACCACCCACTCCGCCCCCTCCCTCTCCCCTCCACTCCCTCAATACCCAGCAGAAACTATTTTGCCCTTATCTAATTTTGTTGAAGAGAGAGTATAAGCAATAATAGGAAGGAACAAGGGTTTTTGCTGGTTGAGATAAGGATAGCTATACAGGGCATTGACTCACATTGATTTCCTGTGCGTGGGTGTTACCTTCTAGGTTAATTCTTTTTGATCTAACCTTCTCTCTAGTACCTGTTCCCCTTTTCCTATTGGCCTCAGTTGCTTTAAGGTATCTGCTTTAGTTTCTCTGCGTTAAGGGCAACAAATGCTAGCTAGTTTTTTAGGTGTCTTACCTATCCTCACCCCTTCCTTGTGTGCTCTCGCTTTTATCATGTGCTCATAGTCCAATCCCCTTGTTGTGTTTGCCCTTGATCTAATGTCCACATATTAGGGAGAACATATGATTTTTGGTCTTTTGGGCCAGGCTAACCTCACTCAGAATGATGTTCTCCAATTCCATCCATTTACTAGCAAATGATAACATTTTGTTCTTCTTCATGGCTGCATAGAATTCCATTGTGTATAGATACCACATTTTCTTAATCCATTCATCAGTGGTGGGTAAGCCACCGATTCTTGTCACAATGTTAACTAAACTCCCATCCTGGGCAGGCGTATTCCCCAGGCTCTCTAGATTAATCAATCAAGACCTTGAACTAAAGGAGTTACCCATCACAGACACATTTTTATAAGTTTATTCCTATATCTGATATAAACATCTCCCTTTAACCAAAATAGATGTGAGAAGTAGCCAGAAATGCCTCTGCTCATGAAACTTGAGAGCCACTCAAGGCGAGGCAAATCTTCCTCACCCAGGGTCCCCAGAAGGAATTTCAGATAAAGGCCATGGTGGGGAGAAGAGAACAGGAAACCTGAGAGAGTAGGGGATGGTTGTTCTTGGCTGGTGGCTGGATGGGTGGGTGGCAGGGATTTCCTTTAGCCCTGTTCCTCATGTAATTAATAATCCTGAAAAGTGGCTAGAATATGACCAGGAAATCAGTTATTCTCTGTACTAGTTTTCTGGGGATGCTATAAAAAAGGACCACTGACTGGGGCTTAAACAACAAAAATTTATTTTCTCATAGTTCTTCCAGCCTGAAGTCCAAGGTGTTGGCAATTTCTCCTGAGGGCTGTGAAGGAAGAGCCATTCCAGGCCTGTCTCTTTAGCCTGTGATTGACCACACAGAGTCCTCCTTCTATAGCCATCTGTGATTTTCCCATACTTATAAGGATACCATTCATATTGGATTAGAGCCAGCCTCATGTCCTCATTTTAACTTGGTCACCTCTGTAAAGACCCTGTCTCCAAATAAGGTCGCAAGCTGAGGTCCTGAGGTTTAGGACTTCAAATAGGAATTGTGGGGTTGGGAAGACACAGTTCAATCAATAACACAGGATGCTTTCAAACTGCAGGCTCACTTTAATGAGCCTCAGCCAGCACCTTTTCAATGAAACAGAAGAGAGTGGAACCAATTGATGATCAGAGTACCTCCCACATAGTAGGAAAAACTATTTCATTGTGTGTGTGTGTGTGTGTGTGTGTGTGTGTGTGTGTGTGTGTGTATGTGACGTCTAATGAGTTACAATTCAAGGTATCTCTCACTGTGGATCATAGCCCCAAAAACAGCTGCTCAAAAGGTGGAAAACTCAGAAACAATTCACTGCCTGTATGTACTCTGTGAAGATTCACCTTCCTCTGTGGTTTGCATTTGCAGAATATCACAATTGAAGGGGCATCCATCATTGATGGTGACAACGCAGCCACAAATGGATTGATACACATCATCGACAAGGTAACACGTCCACCTGCCCACACAGGTGACATCCCTTCCCCCTGTATTGTTAAGCTTCCTGCATGCTATTGTTTGGGGGAAATTTAAAAAATACTTAGCCTTGGTATAAAAGCAACATCACCTTTATTTCAAAACCATTTAAGGCTGTGTTCATTCATCAGTCTCAGCATCCATTTCCTCAGCCTGCTTTCTGCAGCAGGCCCGCAGTCCAGCATGGTCACATGTTATCTCTTTCGAGTGTGGAAACACCTAAATAACACATGAGCACCCTGGCATTGAGAATCCAAAATGAAGGACTAGGAGGGAGGCAATTGGTCATGTATCACTGTTTACTCCCCGCTCTGCATTATGGTACCCTAAAAAGAAGGCACACAGAAGACCCTAAGAGAAAAAAAAAGACTAGAACAAAATATTCTGAGATTTCCATTTTCTTCTAAGTCCCAATTCAACAGTATTCAAAGGTATGAAATAGAAGGGGAAAAAAGAATGGGAAATAGACTTGTAAGCTACCCTATAATTTTCAGTTACTATTTTAGGATCTTCATTTAAAATGAAAGAATTTAGGGCACATTGGAAACTTTTAGAATATGAAAGATTGGGGGAGAAATAATTAACTAATTGCATTTTAATTATTGGGATTGTTCTTGCTTGGCACTTAGAGTCTCCTTTTTTCTTAAGTTACAGAAAAGGTCAACTATTTCTTTTGAGAAAAGATAAGCTATTTGTAAGTCTGCAAAGATCCAGCAGCCCTGAGTAACGCCAAGAGGCAATAAGAATCATAACATTTTTTAGCAAGTGATTGAAGTCATGGGAAACCATGACTTCATATAAGCTATCATTTATCCAGGGTATTTTTCTTTTCCAATCTTGGCTTTCCAAAATACTAAAGTACTTTAAAAAAAAAAAACCATAAAATTACCTCTTACATTTTTGATGGCCACAATCTCCTTAGTCGAATAGCACTCAACCCATTGCCTTCACTAAGGTTATTATTATCGATCCTACCCCTCTGTGGAGCCTTACTTGACCCACAAAGCCCATACCACTGAGGATGACATGGTGTCAAGAAGGTAAATTCTAAAGTCATATGGAGTCTGGGTCTGGTTACTTAGCTAACTGTGTGATTTTGGGCAAGTCACCTAACTTCTCTGAGCCTCATCTTTCTTCTCCTGTGAGGATTAAATAACACCCTCTATCTCAGTGCCTACTGTTAATGAACCCTCAGTAAACATTGGTTTTATCCCCTTCTTCTTCCTCTGAAATCCCATGGAATTTCTTTATATGGAAATTCATTTGGCATCATCAACAGTTATCTTGCACTGATGACATTGTTATGGTATAGTCCTGGACCCCTCTAATTATGGCCTGCCCTGGAGACTTGCATCTTTATCTGTGTGTTCCTCATTGGTACAAGCACCTCACCCTTTGTACAATGAGAGTTGGAATCTTTGAAAGCCCACAAGATGCCAGGCACTACCCCAAGGATCACATGCTGCACTGTCTCATTTGATTCCTTCAATGTCCCTGAGAAACTAGGTGCTGTATCGTCTTCATGTCACAACTGAGGTGGCCAAGGCTCCCCATGGCTAAGCAAGTGGGTCACTTGACCCCAAAAGATTCACAGATGGATGCCAACTGATCAGAGTTCTCTGCTTAGCCTCTGGCTGCATGGCTCCCTCAATAGCTCCTTCTGTGTCTGCCCATTGGCATCCTGGTCACTTTCGGCAGGGCTTCTATGTACAGCTATGCAGGTAGTGCCCTACATAAAGGCACCTGGCCAGAGGTCCACACCACTTCCCATGGCTTTTACCCATTTGGGGTTACAAATGTTCTAGAGAAAGGGGTACCTTTAAAAATAAGTTGCAGTGCCTTTCATAGTTGCATATTATTATGTGATATGAATCTAGAACCATCAAGTCCCATCAGACCATCTCCACAGAGCCCAAGAGTCTGCCGTATCCCCACCAGTCATTCCCAGTCCTTCCTCCTGCTTCAGCTCTAAAAACTCAGAAATGTATCTATCCTCCTCTAACACAGGGGCTGGATGGTCTTCCATAAAGACCAGGTCAAATGGTCTCTGTCCCAATTACTCAGCCCTGCCTTGGTAATGCAAAATCAGTCTTAGACAATATGTAAGTAAATTTACATGACTGTGTTCCAATAAAACTTTCTTTTCAAATATAGCATCAGACTGCATTGGGCCATCTCCTGTCATATGCTGTGAGTCCCTTGAGGGCAGAACCCAGACCTCAGTCACATTTGTGTATGCACTGCTTGGCCCCTAGTAAACACTCAATACATGTTGGTTGAAGATTGATTGAGTGAGGAGAACATTCCAGTGTTGGGTTCTTTTATCTGAGAAGAACAAAAAGATGGAAATAGTTATCTTGCCCAGAACTTAACCAGGCTAGGTTTCCAAATTCAAATGCTGGGATAGACCAGAGTGATGATAAAATGAATGAGCAGAGCCAGGTGGAAGGCATCAGGGAGTGGTGGTGGCCATATTGAAAGCCCCTGCTGCTCCTCTCTGCAGCTGTATGTTGTCTGAGGGTATAGAGATGGGTGTTTTTAAAAAGACTTCAGACATCTAAAATTTTATGTTTAAAAATGTTCTATTTTTATTACACTACATGAGCCAGCAAAACATTTTTATGAAGCTGACTCAGATTATTGGGTTGCAGTAGACTTAACGCTTCCAGAAAAAGAAATGAAGAATAAACAAAAGAACAAAAAACCAATGCATTTCAGCTACAGCCTGTTTCAGTTCGGACAGCTGGCAGGGTCTTCCGTGGGTAGATTAATGAAAGTCAGAATGGATTCCTTGGAGAGAGCTAGAAAGTCTTTTGTACAGATGAAATTTTCTCTACGTGGCGAGAATTTATTTAAAGGCACAACATAAAATGGAACTAATTACATCTCCAAGTTCCTTCTGTCTTGTCACTCTGCAACCTACAATGTTATCCTGTGAGGATAGCATTATGACATTTTCAATGTCAATTCTTTTAACCCTCAAGAGAAGTTAAAGCACCAATGAGCAGCGAATGCTACCACAATGTGCTAAGCAGAATTTGGGGGCTTCCTTTCCCAGGTGCTGGTCCCCAGAAGAGGTCTAACTGGCTCCTTGCCAAATCTGCTCACCCGGCTGGACCAGATGCCAGACTATTCCATCTTCCGGGGCTACATCATTGCAAGTACCATGTTCTCTGACTCAACTGGGAACACCTGGCTCAGGCCACCTGGAACTTCAGTCCCTCACACACTCTTGTCTCTTTCCTTTGTAGCAATACAATCTGGGAAATGCTATCGAGGCTGCAGACACCTACACTGTGTTTGCTCCAAACAATGATGCCATTGAGAATTACGTCAGGGAGAAGAAGGTCACAACTCTAGTAGGTATCAGGAACAATAGCCAGGAAAGTTATTTTCTGAAAATTCAAACATCTGGCATGGATTCCCACAGTCATGAAAGCCTACTGGTCCAGCTTCACATACCTAACAGAGACACATGCAGAGACCCTCCCACACAGAGACCTCTCCTGCCAGAGCTGCTGGTGTGGACTGCACAGCCCTGGATTCACTCGCTTGAACCGACATACAGAAACAGAACCATCTCAGGTCTGATAGGATCAGGAAAGACCCTATGGTCATCTGTTCTCCCTTGAACCAGCAGCTGTCTTTACCCTGCCCACCCCTGCTCCTTTACCTGCTTGCTGAGGAATATTCTTTTCCTGGTGGGATGACTCTTCAGGCAATCTCACAGCCTTTCTGCTTCCCCCCCCAAAAGTTCTATGGACACTTTAAGCTACAAAGACAATCTTAATTAAGTTAAATCATAATGATAACCCAGACTACTAGGATTGAGATATGGTTTGAGTGTGTCCCTCGAGGTTTCCTGTGTTGGAGACTTGATCTTTGGTGTGGTGATGTTGGGAGGTGATGGAACCTTAAAGAGGTGGGGTTTAACACAGGATCATTAGATCTTTGGGGACACTGCCCTCAGAAGGGGTGGATACTAGTCTCATGGAGTGAATGGGTTGTTGTCACAGGACTGGCACTTTCTACTTGTTGGCCTCCTATCTCCACTGATCATTCATGCACATGTTCTTACCACTGTGGTACCATCAGCCATGAGGCCCTCACCAGAAACCAAATAAATGAGGTTTCTGAGTCTTGGACTTTCAGCCTCCCAAACCAAGAACTAAATGAGCCTCTCTTCTTTACTAAGTACTCAGGCTCAAGTATTTTGGAATAGCAGCAGAATATGGGCTAATATATAACCCCTTGTAATAGTCAACATTTTCTTTTGAATTGGGTTTAAAATCATATTCCTTCACTGTTCACAGTACAACTCAGTGCAGGCAGGAAGCTATAGAAAAGTCCTTGAATCAGTCAGGATCCGCCAAGAGATACAAGCCATCCCAGTTACTCAAACAGAGAGAATTTAATAGTATGAATTGTTTATTGACTATAAAACCACATAAATATAGCTGAAAGGTGAAAAAAAGAGATGTCACAGAGGAAGCAACTGCAAGAAGCATATATAACCTCTAAGACTGAGAAAATAAAGAGAAGAGGTTAGAATTATTAAAACTTAGAAACTCATAGGAGGAGCCCAGGGGAGCTGAAACTCAGACTTCTGTGAGGGTCATTGTTTACCTGGTGTCTTGGAGCGTGGAGGAAGGTCCCTGTGGGCCCAAGACTCAGTTGTCCGGGAGGGGCATTGCCTGGCTGGTGTCTCAGACATGGGGAAAGCATGATATCTGGTTCTGTGAGTGATAGGAATCTGCTAGCCAGACCCAGTTAACACTGCAGAAAGAGAGAAGTGAGAGGTGCTGGAAGCAACCCAAAAGGAGCAGATCTTTCCCGTCCAGCCTCATGTCTCTTTTGAGAGTTTCCCAGGGGTACAACCTAAATAAGGGGGTCCTGGCCAAGGAAAATGAAGAATACAGCACCAGCCCCAGCATCACAAATCAGAATATAAGCGGGGAGGGGTTGGAGCCTTCTTCTCTCCTTCCCCATGTTATGCTCCTATTCCACTTCCTGAACTCAGTTTTGCTTTTACCAAGTTGAAGTTTTGCTGGAAGTTTTGCTGGCTGGGAAGAGACATAGGGAGAACAGGAAGGTTAAACAGGAAGGAGGGTAGGATGGAGTCTAAGAATCAGAGCTCACCTTTAGCTTTGCCCTGGGGAAGCCTGTCTGCCCTTCTAAGCTGCCATCTTGGGCAGGATCTAAGGCACCAGCACTCAGACATAGCCCCACATCCACCCCAAGGGAAGATACCCACTCTCTTGTCCCAAGACAGCTCTGTGAGTGCAAGTCTATTCCAGTGCCACTGCTGTGCACCTTGGCAGCAGTCCCTGGCTTAGGAATTGCCCAGGCCTGAATGGACTTCAGCCAACTACTCCAGCTCAACTGCAGTGGACACAGGTCAAGTTCTTTGAAACGTCCCCTTGAGCCTCCTCTCAGGATCCCTGTGGCAAGGCAACCTGAGTATGAGGAGTCTTGCTTCACAGCTGTCCTGTTCAAAAAACTCATCCTTAAAATCTACTCCCAACTCTCACACTCTTCATCGGGCATTAGCGTCACCTAACAAGTTCTTGACCATCTTTCTTGGAAATTCCGCAAATTCTCTAAGATGATCTATTTCACAACTTACTTTATTATTTAATTTTTTTTGTGCCTCAGTGCCTTAGTTAAATCTTCCACTTGGTCAAGCCTTTGCTCCTCTTTGATCCCCACAGTGCTGGCACACACCCCTTCCCCATCCCCACCCCGGTGACCCATTGGCTGATCTATTGACTGACTTGCCCTGTGTGCCTGGTGCAGGAGGAGGACGTACTCCGGTACCACGTGGTCCTAGAGGAGAAGCTCTTGAAGAACGACCTGCACAATGGTATGCACAGGGAGACCATGCTGGGCTCCTCCTACCTCCTCGGCTTCTTCCTCCGCGATGACCAGGTATGTCCTTTTATTCAAAATCCAGGAACTAATGTCTCAGTTCCCATCAACCCTCACCTCTTTCATATTGGAAGACTCTCTCCAGTGTTTCCTGAGCCTTAGCAGCACAAAACAGTTGTCTATGTTCTACCAGGAAGTAATGCTAAACCAGATTGTCAAGTTCCTACTCACCTGCCCTGTGGTCAGCCCCAGATAACCAGTGTGGCCCTATGATTTGTGGCATTTGAATCCAGCAGCATAGACACCCTTCAGCACTGGTACTACAAACCTAACAGACAAGTCCCAAGCAGTCTCCAAGATGGAAGGGACCTGGGAGCTCAAGCTAACTCCCAAGGTGTGCCATTGGCTCCAGGACATAAGGAACCTAATGACGTATGTAGGAGCCAGCAACCAAATAAATGATTTCTATCATCATGGCACAATCATGGAGATTGCAGTCCTAGGACCAACTGACCACCACATGGACTCCAGTATCTATCCCATACAATGCCTAAACATTTAAATAGAATTCATAAAAAAGAGTTCATAAGAACAAATGTTTAATATAGTTCAAATATAAAAATTTTTTCATACCGTTCAAATATCAAGGAAAGACATCAATCTATGAAAAATTTTTAGAAGCTTACTATATAATTCTAATACAGTTTTCACAAGAAAAATTAATTTAAAATTGTTATTTATGAGATAATAAGGTATTGAAATGAAATTTTAATTTCAGAATCTTTAAGCAAAAATATTATGTGATCCTTTTTAAAAAGTATAATCTTAAGAATAATTTCTTCAGTACTGTCATCATTGAATTACAAGTAAACTTTTATGTGAAAAAATGTTTTACCTGGCTGGGGATAAGAAAAAAAAAAAAACACAGGTCTTTCTCAGCCAGGTGCCTATGGAATCCTATCTGTGTGAGAAGCTAAGATTGAGAAGATCCCAGTTCCAGGCTAACCCAGACAAAAAATGAAACCCTGTCTCCAAAAAAAAACTGAGCAAAAGGCCTGGAGGTGTGGCTCAAGCCACAAAGTACCTACCTAGCAAGCACAAACCCCCGAGTTCAAACCCCAGTCCCAACACAAAAAAAAAAAAGGAAAAAAGAGAAAAGTCTTTTCCATTCTTCATTACTTGGAGAATAATCTGATTTCAAATATTTTTTTCTGACTCCTACAAATTATTCTACTTGTAGTGTAATAACTATAAAATAGTCTTTTAAATACATTTTCTTATTTTTCCTAAGATTGGTAATTATGTTATTGATAGAGAGCTTTCATGATTGTTTTTGTTTTTACTTGTCATCTTTTATTTCATCGTGTAAAGGTGAATATTCCAGTGCTGGTAGTTGAATCAACTTTGGTGTTACATTGTTCATTTTCCATCTGTCCAGAAATTCTTTTAGCTAGAGCAAGAATTATTCTTGCAATAGAAGCTTTGCTTTTATTGATAGTCGTTTACTTTCACTCATGACAGTGAAAATGTAGGAAAAATTCTTTGTAAATGAGTAGGTGTGTTTATATGACAATTTTAATGCAACCCATAATTCTCTGGATATACCTCACGATGGAAATGATTCAAACTTTTTAAATTCCAAATTAAACAGTATTACAACATCAAATGTTCTGCTCTTTGAATATTTATAAATAGCTCAGCATCTTAGAATTCTGGAAATTTGTGCTACAATCACCACTGAGACTAAATAAAGTTTTCTGCTGGATTTCCAAATGTACACAGACCTTGGAGCATCTCTGTGGAGCTCAACCTTGATTTATCCCACCATCCAAATAAAAATTCATTCGACTGCAAGAAAATCATGAGGGACTTTAGCATTTGATAGAAACTCAAAATTAAGCATTTAGTAGGGTCATTTTAATATTGCAACCATGAGGAGTGTTGAGAATATTATTTTGTGTATCATTTTATGAATCCTAAACCCTTATTGAAAATTAACTTGATATCTGCTTAGTATAATGAAAGGCTTTCTCCCTCTTCCCATCCTCAGCCCTGCTAGACCTATGTATACACACAACATCCCAATTTTGTAATGGACCATTGGTTTCCATTTATATTCATCCTATTAGTTAATGAATTAATGGTTTCAGTTATTTTTCATTAATCAGTCATTGAAGTATCCTTCCTTAAAATAAATTACAGAACTTGCAGCATTTCAACACTGACTTAGTCCCTGTGTCTTGGATGACTTTAGCAAAGATACCTCCACACATATCACTTAAAAATTGTTATCTAGTTATTTTAATTCTTAGATAATTGTCATTTAGCTTTTCTAAGGGTGTCCCACAAATTACCCACAAGGTAGATATCCACTGAAAGGATGAGTTGTGTTCTCCATGTCTTGGTTATGGCAGGCATACCTCCTGGACCACATCACAACTCAGAATACCCAAGGACACTAACACAAGGATATGAGGCAGTATTTTTCAAACAAACAAAACCAATTAATTTGAGAGATGGCAAGAAACTTTAATGATTACCTAGAACCTCTTCATTTCACAAAAAAATGTTAAAATTGAGAAAGGGAAAGCCATTGGCCCAAGGCCACACAGCTACCTGGAGTCAGATGATTCAGTTCCCCTCCCCCAGGCCAGAGCTCTGTCCACTGCACCATGCTACCTCCCAAGAGAATCCTGAACTATCTCCCACATCAATGTCATTCATGGCTTCCATTCCCTTCTTCCCCATTGCCCTTAAAACCACCATAATTAAGTCATATTTAACCCTCTTGTTCATAGCTCTATGTAAATGAGGCGCCAATAAACTACACCAATGTTGCCACTGACAAGGGAGTGATCCATGGCTTGGGAAAAGTTCTGGAAATTCAGAAGAACAGATGTGATAATAATGACACTACTATTGTACGAGTAAGTTATATCCAGAGTCAATGATGCAACTACAAGTGATGATTTATTTTTTAGTTTTTTAAGCTTAAGAATTTTCTACTGGGTAAGGGCTAGAGATGTGGCTCAATTGGGGGAGCACTTGCCTAGCAAGCATGAGGCCCTGAGTTCAAACCCCAGTATTGCCACACAAAAAAATTTCTTTTAGGGTGTCTCAGTTCAGTCCAAAAACTACTTAGTGAGCATTTCTGAAGCACCAGGCTGCCGTTTACAAAGGATCATAAGACATGACCTTGGCACTCAGTGGACTCACAATCCAGTGCAATAATTGTGTACCTGGTATGCCTGGGAAAGGCTTCCTGAAGCCCTGTGTTGAGCAGGATTCTGAAGCCAAGTCTCTGTGCAAAGGGAAATACTTGTTTAGCACATGCACAGAGAAGGGTCTGTGGTGCAACTATGGTAGGCATAGGCCAAGCCCGGTGTGTCAGGAGAGAAATATGGAAATGGATGGACCAATGCCATATGACGTAATAATGCAGGCTCTCCACTCTGGTGCATGGCACAGATTAGGATGTTTTAGTAATAGCTGCTGGTATTTACCAGGTAGTACCTGACACCATCCCAAACATTTTACTGGTAGTAACCCCTGTCATCTTCACAATATTCTAAAAGTAGGTACTATTACTGCCTCCATTTACAGAGAGGAAAATGAGCTAGAGAGCAGTTAAGTAATGCACCCTCTTTCACATTTTAGCAAATGACAGAGGAGTTCAAATCCAGGCAGTCACTCTCCAGTCCCAGATCTCTGAATAACTGCATTACACAGTTCAGTAGGTACCAAGTGAAGAACTACACACCATGGCCTCCTCCTATTTTAGGAACAAGGAACCCTTAAGAGTTTCTGTCATTCTTCTTTTTTTTTTTTTTCAGTTCTGGGGATTGGATTGAACCTAGGGACTCACATACACTAGATAAGCAAGCACTCTCCCACTAAACTGTGCCCCAGCCTGAGTTTCTGTCATTGTTCATGCTTGTTCTTTGTCTGTGTTATTTCTGTGGAGCATCTCAACTCTGTTGCCTTCAGCTGGACCATGTACTCCCAAGGTTGGGCACTGTCTGTGACAACATTGTTTATCTCTGAATCTGGCCCAATTGCCTAAACAGTGAGGTTTTGATAAATGGGGTTACTTATTAAAGGAAGTCAGATTTAAGTGAGTGAGGCCCTCCATACTATAAAAGGTTATTAGAGTAAGAAGAATATTGTGGGGGAGGGAGCAATGAGCAAGCATGCAAGACCTAAAGAAGAGTGTTCATCTCACATTAAAGAGGCCGGCCAGATGATCAACTCTGATTTTCAGTTCTGTACTCTAAAACCTTCAGCTCTTGGTTCTAGAAAATATTTCTGCACTAAAAGTAATAACCTTAAACTGTCCTCTTTGTCTCTGTGCTTTACCAAGGGAAAGTGTGGCAAGTGTCCCCAGAAACCACCAATCTGCCCACTTGGAACTAAGCCGCTTGTAGTAAGTATTTTGTCCACTTTGGTAAAAGAGTCTCCAGATCCGAGGGAGTCGAAATTAGAAAATGAATCTTAAGCATGCCTCATATTTATCGCCCCCATTCCTTCACAGGGTTTTAATTTAATTTTACCTTGCTACATTGTATGCATTTTTTGGAAGGACCAAAGCAAATCTAATAATTAAATAGACATGAGTTCATAAATAAACACACAATGTAGGAAGAGATTTTTTTCAAATCTTTCATAGTAGCCAGGTGAGGACAGCAGCAAGACACTTTATCAGTGACAGGCTCCATATCCAAAACCACACCCAACCTGATACATTCCACCTTCTTGATTTCCTTTGCTAGGTGAAGTTGCAGCTGACTTTCTTAAAGAAACATATGCAGACATGGAAGAGAGAGCCATGTCTGTAGATTAATTACCAATCTGTTTCTTGTTGCTTATTCTTTGTAAAAGCTACTTCTGATAACAGCCATTACAGAGAATAAACACTTATGCCCTTCCTTAGCATGACAATGAAAATTTGTGATCATAATAATGAATGTTGGTTGTCTCACTTGAGTATTCATTTAATCTTGTATCGTATAAATCTTTGAGCAAACAATCCTTTCTTGGACCAATGCAGAATATACATCAATAAACAAGTTAAAACATACACTTAAATCAATGAATGTACATGTCTGGAAGAGTATTTTTATTTGAATTATTTTATAATCCTTTCAAAATTGAGTTCATCTTCTAGAGAAATGTCCTTTTTATAGAATGCTTTATTTGGATTTTCCCATATTGTGTCTTTGTATTTTCTTGCTTAAGCAACAGAACCAAAAAGCTCCAACCCCCCTTTCCAGAGCATTCTAGTCAGAGAAACAGCCATGCATTACCCACTTCATTGCTTTTGGAAACTGGAAAACTTCTTTCCTAACTAAAGGGCTGACATAATCATTACTATTTCACAGGACGATGAGAGAAGGAAATGTATCTACACCATTTATTTCATGGGAAAGAGGTCCTTGTTCATTGGGTGCCAGCCAAAATGTGTGAAAACTGTCATTGTGAGTATAATGACTTAACCTAGTTACTCCATTCTAATTCCGTCAGCAATGCTGGGAAATTCAATCACATATTAGACTTTTCAAAACGCCTTTACATGTATTCTTCCCACCGTCTCCTCTTCCTCCTCTCCATCTTCATCATGATTGTCACTCAAGGTAGTAATGGTAGCAGTCAAACTCAAATCAGCCCCATAAATCAAAAAATGGTGAAAGCTTCAGCATATGATTGGGTAGTGAGGAAGCTGAAGGTCTGAAAGGTGAAGAGGCTGCCCAGTTCTCACAGCAGGATCATAAACATAAGAAAAGAGACAGAACAGGACTGCTCACTAAGGAAAGATGGGGTGCTCCTGGTCATTTAGAAAATAGGACACCAAAGCTAAGGACCTCTGAGAGCCATTTTGAAATTTGCAGGAAATTCTTTATCACTTCCTGTCCTGGTTGTTTCCCAGAGACCTAGACATACCCTCTGCCTGTTTCTGCAGAGGAAGGGAGGTTTGGCCCTCAGAGTGCAGAGCTAGGAACTGGAGAAGATTTTGTGTCCTAAAGCACCCACAGATAAAGTCTGACCAAAGCAGAGATATGCAGGGCTTCCCTGCACCCCAGGGAGTCTCTCAAGAAAAGCCAAAGGACTCATGGGAAGAGGCCTTTCTCCTTCAGTAGAAGATAAAATAGCAGTTAATGCAAAGGGACCCAGGTTCAAGGACAGGGAAGCCATTGGTCAGCATCTCCTGAGTCATTCTTGAGTTGTTCCTGCTGCCCTTCCTGTCTTCTTTTCCATCCTCTTCTCTTACTCGCCTTTTCTCTCTCCCCATCCCACTTCCTTCCTATGGGTGAAGATCTTAGTATTGGTCTTCTTGACCCAGGGAAACTGCCCGGCCTCACCCAGTCCTCAGAGGGCTCTGGGGTCAAAGAAGCAGATACACACACAGTCCCCAGGATCCACCCAGCAGAAGGTGAAGTGTGTGCCCAGCCTTGTCCTTCTGTTGCAGACCAGAGCGTGCTGTGCCGGCTTCTTCGGCCCCCAGTGCCAGGCCTGCCCCGGGAAGGACCAGAACGTGTGCTTCGGGAACGGGATCTGTCTGGATGGCGTGAATGGCACCGGCGTGTGCGAGTGCGGGCCGGGCTTCCACGGGACGGCCTGCGAGACCTGTGTCGAGGGCAAGTACGGCATCCACTGCGACCAAGGTGCGTGGTGATATGCGGGAACAGAGCTCCTGAGCCCCAGTCACCAGGCAGCTGGGAACCCACCTGCGATTACCACTGTGAAATATAAGATCGGCTGTGTCGTGTCATCTGCACAGGGCAGTGTTTCCAAAACTTTGCAGCCACTACCTGGCCCTGCCCACCTACTCCCAATCATGGATGGTCCCAACCAACCATGTATCTCATTTCCCTGTGTACATTTCCCTGTGTGCACTAATCATCATGGTTACAGCTTCATTATAGACATTGCTCAATAGTTAGAAAAACAGACTTGTCTGAATTACCTCATCCAATCCACACTCCCTTATAAACTTGCCCATTTTACAGATAAGGCTATTAAAGCAAGGAAGTTGAATGCCTTCCTCCAAGGTCACGGCTGAAGAGAAGCAGAACTGAGATTTGAGTCAAGCAAGCTGGACTCCCAAGCCCAGCTCTTAAATGGAGCTGTCCTTCACAAAAAAGTCACTCACCCTCAGCAAGCCACATGCTTTGTTTTTGCAAAAAATAGTAATGAGTTAGAGCCAAGTCATCTGCACTTTTGCAGCCTGGCTTCCATGCACCCAGGGACACACCTGTGAGACAGAGGTGGCTTCCTATCCCATGATTAGGAAACAAGTCATCGTTCTTCCTGGAACTCAAACCCACACACTTAGCTAACACTGCTTTCTCATCAGAGGGTCAAAGCCAGACAAAATTAATGTATAGTTAAGTATTATAATTGGGCTGGATATCATTGAAATTAGAATGTTTGTTATTTTTCTGTGTTATTTTGAAATCCATTGCATTTGTGTGGAAGTTCCTAACCTCAAATCCATGGTGATCCTCATGGGGCCCAGAAAACCCCCAAACCTGAATGCATTTCTGTGGGGTAAAGATATCCACAGATTTCATCGAGTTCTCAAAAAGGCTCATGACCCTATTGTTAAATAAGGAATTGTCAGTTCTATGTTACTGCAGAAGGAATTGCACACCAGGTTTCTATAAACCCAATATCAAATGGGCTTCTTTTGAAGTCCACCTTAGGGAACAAATGTGGTTCCATTCCAAGGGGCCCCATATAGCCCTTGATTCCTCCTTAACCTGGGCTGGACGCTTTCACTCTGTGTGGATCAGAGACCCACCATGGTACTCAGTCCCAGAACTGTGGCGTGAACTGCTTTGTTGAAGCACGACCTGACTCACCTGTTCACCTGCATCCCTATTTTCCTTCCTGTGACTCTAACCCTAAGTGAAAGACAGGGAGTCCCTAGCACCAGGCTAGAGAACAGATGCAATGAAGTGCACCCAGTAACTGATAAGCAAGGTGTTGATCATTTGAGATGTTTTTCCCCCAGCATGTTCTTGTGTTCATGGGAGATGCAACCAAGGCCCCTCAGGAGACGGCTCCTGTGAATGTGACGTTGGCTGGCGAGGAGTGACGTGCGACAGTGGTAAGAGTGAGCCCTTCAACTGATAATCTGTGCCTAACCCCACTTCTCAGCAGTCGTGGTTTTTTTCTTTCTAAGATAGAAATGACACCTCTTTTTTTATTTCTTATGACAATGAACATAATTCTTTCCTGTAGCAAAAAAATATCGTAAAATAAGGAAAGTCAAGAAAAAGAAAATAAAATTATTCTTACTCCCAAGACAGGAAAACCTATTAACTGATATTTTGTATTAGACTTCCAACCTTTTTTCTAGGACTAGAAACATATGTGTAGAGGATCATGTGCTCTATACTGTTTTGTCACCTCCTTTTTCACTTCACATTAGTTAACAGAAATTTTTCCACATAAATATAGATATATCATTAATTTTTCATTTCCATATAATGTTCTATTATAAAACTGTACTGTGTCAAGGAAGGGTTGTTTGCTTGTTGTAGTGCTGAGGATCAAACCCAGGGTCTCACACATACCAGGCAAGCGCTATACTCAGCACAAGATGGTATTATTACTCGTGAAGTAAAAGATAAAATGAATGTCAAGCCGCACTAAGTAATTTGGACCACACACCGAAACACTTTAGAGTATGTAAAGCCTCTGCCCCTGCTCTGTGGCCAAGGCATGAACTAATGACACTTCAGCACCCAGTGCTGGCCACACACAAGCCTCAGGAGCATCACCGAGGGTGTGGGGTGAAGAGCACAGAACCTGAGTTGGGAGGGGATTGCTGACAGCTCATCAGCCTCAGCGTTTTGACAGATGGGGCTGCAGGGCCCTGGCTATTAAAGGGGCAGTGTTGAAGGTTCTGAGGCCTGGGTTCAAATAAAAACCATGTGCGTTAGTAATTTCCACTGTGTCCTTCAGTACTCGACTTTCCTCCTTTGTACAGTCAGTCTATTGGGTACTTCACTTTACCTTACAGAATAGTTGTGACCATTTTTTAAAAATCCTATACAAACATTTATTGACATACATGTAGATAAATAGATGATAGATAGATAGATAGATAGATAGATGATAGATTCCTTTTTTCTTTTGTTTTTGGCAGTTTGAGGGTTGGAACCCAGGGCCTTGTTGCACGCTAGGCAAGTGCTCTACCACACAGCTACACTCCCAGCCCGACTATGTTTCTTAAGCCAATTTTCTGCTCTCATAAATGCCATATGAGCATATTCTATATGCATTTATCTGTGTTGGTTTTATTAATTCATTTCTTAAAATCCCAGAGGTGGGATTTCTAGTAAGGAGTTGGTGCTCTGGGCCAGCTATCCCTGCCAAGTGGTCCTCCAGAGGTAATAATGACATATTTTCCCGCCCTAGGGTCTGAGAGGCTCTTTTCTCCACCCTCACATGTGGCATTGATGTTCATGTGGAACACCAGGTGAGAGTGATGAGAGAAGCAAATTTCCAGCAGAAACCAGCACATGGAATATCTTCAAAGTTGCAGGGAAGTTGTGCACATTTAGGGAACCAAAGGACTGCAGAATGAGAGGAATTCAGTGCTAAGAGGAAGCTGAGAGGAAGAGGCTAGCGTGGCAGGCCGGGGCAGATCATCAAAGACAAGAGACTGAGCTTCCCAGGAAAGCCAGCAGGAAGCTATTGAAGGGGTTCAAGCAGGGGAATATTATGATCTTATTTACATTCAAGAGAAATCATTCAGGGCTGGCAAAGTGGCTCAAGTGGTAGAGCACCAGCTTAGCAAAAGTGAGGCCCTGAGTTCAAACCCCAGTCCTACAAAAAACAAACAAAAAAACAGTAAGAGAAATCATTCGGCCACTGGAATGGGGTATCATAGACCTTCCCCACCCTCCCCTGTGGTGGGGACTTGGAAGGAGGCCACAGTGCCCACCAGCTCAACAGTGGTTCCAGGGATACAGGATTGTCAGAGGGGTTACATTGCCCAAGGCTCCAGGTGATGTTAAAACCAGGGAAAGGCAAAGTTTAGAGTTAGTTGAAATTCTGAAGGGCCCTGGACTAAGAGTATGTCCCAGAACAGCCAATATTCAGAGGACCTGAAAGAGGGAAGCTAGAAGTGATGGGGGGCCCCACAACCAGGAAGACGTCCTGGGTAAATCTGAGAACAGATACAATGGGTGACCCCTCACTGTGACTTAAGTGCTTGTCAGAGCATGGTGCAGAGAGCCAATCTCAGTTAAAGGGCCATGAAACAGTGTGGAAGCTGTAGCAAGTTTTTAGGAGACAATTAAGGAAAGTCTGAACTAGGTGGCAGCAGGACTAGGGCAGGGGGAAATGAAGACCTGTGATTGTCAAGGTGGAGACTGAGTAAGTGCAGGATTGCTTAAGGATGACGCTAAGGTCATGACTCAGGCAGCAGCACGAATGGTAGCCAGTCATGGAAGAGGACAGCTGGGGAGCTGTTGGGTTGAGTTCCAGGTGTCAGCAGCCATCCTGTTGGTGATGCCCAGAGGCCTCAGCTCGTTTCTTCACTGTCAGACACTTGCGGAGCATCTCCACAAGCTGGACAAAGTACACACTGCATGAGCACAGTATGGCCACTGCCTTCACAGCCTGCAGTTCTGTGGGAAATGCTGGCAGGCCCCAACTGATTACTGTGGAGTAGACATTTGGACTTGGCCATATAAGGTTCAGGAATGAGGTCAAGGCTAGAGTAGAAGCATTGGAGACAGGTGAACAGATAAAGGGCTATCGGCTTCACACCATGAAGAGGAAGAAGACAGCGCCAAAGACAAGCAAGCACACTCCTCTTCCTGCTTCCTTGCCTGTGAAGAAAGGTCCCACCACCCACATGCCTGGCCACCCATTCTAGAAACTTCCCTGAGTCTCCATGCCTCCCTGTCCCTCACCAACACTCCTGACTCTTATAAGGATCCACATTTCTAGAATACAGTCCTTCCTCCTGCACCCCGTCAGCAGCAGTCTGGGATCCATCTCCGATCTTAGGTCCTACCCCTCTTTGTTCACTAGTCCACATCACCACAAAAAAGAAGTTCCTAAAACATAGAGCAAAAAGATCATATTTCCCATCCCTAAGACTTGACTATAGCAAGTTCTTTTTTTTTTTTTTTTGTGGAAAAATTCTTTTTCTGTTTTTATTATTGTTGTGCTGGGTGGGAGTACATTGGAGTATTTGCAAAAGTTCTCATAACATATCAAATATATCATATTTGAATTCACCCCCTCCACTGCTCTCTTTCATCCTCTCTCCCCCGATTCCTGGAACAGTCTCAGTAGGGATCATTTTTGCATTTACTTACATGTGTATACATTATTGGGACTACCACCTCCACCTCCTGGCAGAACCTGTCTGCCCTTTTGTTCTCCAATTTTGTAGGAAAAAAACCAGAAGAGATAATAAGAAAAACATGGCGTTTTTGCTAGTTTGAGATAAAGATAGCTATATAGGGAAATTCCTTGAATTGTTTCCATGCATATGTATATTACAACCCAAATTGATTCACCTCTTCCAGACTCTTCACTACTCCCTAGTCCCCTTCCCATAGTGACCTTGGCCAGTATAAGATTACTGTATTTGTTCCTGTACAGTGAGTACATCAACCACCTTCAAGTTTTTAGTTTCCCTCCTTGCCCTATCCCTCTTGCACATTCTCCCCTTAGTGTGACTCTGGTCCAATAATATTATTGCATTTGTTTTGGGTCTATAATTTGCATATGAGGGAGAACATGTGATTTTTGGCCTTCTGAGCCTGACTAACTTCACTTAAGATGATGTTCTCCAGTTCCATCCATTTACCTGTGAATGAAAAAATTTCACTCTTCTTTGTGGCTAAATAAAATTCCATTGTGTATAAATACCCCCATTTTCTTGATCTATTCATCAGTAGTGGGGCATCTTGGCTGTTTCCATAACTTGGCTATTGTAAATAGTGCTGCAGTAAACATGAATGTAAACCTGAGTTGCATTCTTTGGATATATATCCCTAGGAGTGGTATTGCTGGATCATATGGCAGATCTATGTTTAGTTTTTTAAAAAGACTCCATATTGTTTTCCAGAGTAGTTGTACTAGCTTACATTCCCACCAGGAGTGTAGAAGGGTTCCTTTTTCCCTGCATCCTTGCCAGCATTTGTTGGTGGTAGTGTTCTTGATGGTAACTATTCTAACAGGAGTGAGGTGGAATCTTAGTGTAGTTTTGATTTGCATTTCCTTCATGGCCAGCAATGGTGAGCATTTTTTTCATGTGTTCTTTTAGCCATTTGGACTTCTTCCTTTGAAAAAGTTCTTTTTAGTTCAGTTGACCATTTCTTCATTTGGGTCATTGATTTTTTGGAAGTTTAGTTTTTTGAGCTCCCTGTACGTGCTGGTTATCAGTCCTTTGTCTGATGTATAGTTAGCAAAGATTTTCTCCCATTCTGTGGGTGGTCTCTTCAATTTAGGAACACTTCTTTTGTTGTGCAGAAGCTGTTTAATTTCATGCAGTCCCATTGTCCATCCTTTCTCTTAGTTGCTGAGCCACTTAAGTTCTACTGAGGAAGTCCTTGCTATACCTATTGTTTCCAGGGAATTCCCTGCTCTTTCCTGTACTAGCTACAAGATTTCAGGTCTGATATTAAGGTCCTTAATCCACTTTGAGTTGATACTAGTACAGGGTGACAGGCATGGATCCAGTTTCAGTTTTCTGCAGGCAGATAAGCAGTTTTCCCAGCAATATTTGTTGAAGACTCCGTCTTTTCTCCATCATATGTTTTTGGCACCTTTGTGGAAGATTAGGTGAGCATACCTGAGTGGAGTCATATCCAGGTCCTCTATTTTGCTCCACTGGTATTCATGTCTATTTTTGTGCCAGTACCATGCTGTTTTTATTGCTGTGGCTCTGTAATATAGTTTGAAGTTGGGTATTGTGATACCTCCAGTGTTGCTCTTTTTGCTCAGTATTGCCTTGGTAATACTTTAGGGTAGATTTTTCTATCTTTGTGATGAATGTCATTGGGATTTTGATGGGAATTATGTTGAACATGTAGATTGCTTTTGGTAGTATAGCCATTTTTACTATGTTGACTCTGC